TAATATGGTGTGTTCCTATTCGGTTGTCAGCAATTGTAGAATTTGGAGGTGTCGAAGAAATACGGCCATGTACACAGCCATGTGCTCCAGAAACTTCAGGATCTATAGAACAGGGTCAAGGAGTTTACACAGTGGATGGTGGTTGTGGGATATGGGTGGACTTCCTTGGGTTTGGGAAGTACTGGTGTGAGGGAAGGCTGCCTGCTCCCACTCAGAGAAGATCTCAGAACTCTCAGTCTGAAGACCGGTGTGGAATTTTCGGCAATTTGGTGTCTCTACAGAGCTTAGTTATGAGACATTGGAGTTGGGCAATTGGCATGGCATAGGGCTATGAACATAGCCATATTCACAGTTTGAGCTGCCAAGCCCAAAGCCCCATTTAATCTCACTCCCAGTCAGAGTTTCTGGTAATCTCTGATCAATTTTCGGCCTCTGTGGATTTTTTTCCTTTGTAGAATGTCGCATTAAAATATTTAGCCTTTTACTTCTGACTTCTTTCACTTACTACACTACATTTGAGATTAAACCATATTGCTGTATCATTAATTTGTTCCTTTTTTGTTGCTGGGGTCTTATTCCATTGTGATTGTACCATTGGTTCTTTATCTGTTTTATGTTTGAAAACCATTTGTTGTTTTCAATCTTGGGGGAAGGCAATTATTTACAAAACTGCTATATATATATATATATATATATATATATATATATGTATACATATGGGCTGGAGCAATAGCACAGCAGTAGGGCGTTTGCCTTGCTGCAGCCAGCCTGGCCGAGCCGGGTTCAATTCCTCTGCCCGTCTCGGAGAGCCCAGCAAGCTACCGAGAGTATCTCGCCCACATGGCAAAGCCTGGCAAGTTACCTGTGACGTTTTCGATATGCCAAACACAGTAACAACAAGTCTCAAAATGGAGACGTTACTGGACCCGCTCGAGCAAATCGATGAACAATGGGAGGACTGTGACTGTGACTGATATATATATATATATATATATATATATATATACACATACACACACACATATATATATAATAGATTTTATATGAACTCTAGCTTTCACATGTCAAGGTAGAGATCCAAACTTGTTATAGCTGGATCATTCAACATGTGTATTTCCAATTTATTATTCATTGACAAATCAATTTGTCCATTCCTTCAGCCATGCATTCCTTGTTCCACTTGTTTTGCATCCTTTCCAGCAATTGGTATTAAAAGAATTTTCATTTTTGTGCAAACTAATAGGTGTGTAATTACGCTATTAATTTACATTTTCCTAATGACTAATAATACCGAACATCACTTCTCTGTTAGTCATCTGTTTAAATCCTTTTTCTCATTAAACATGGATGTGTGGGGGCTGAAGAGATAGTATATTTCAAAGGGTGCTGCCCTGCATGTGGTTGACCCAGGTTCAATCTGCATGATCCACAGAGCCTTGCCAGAAGTGATTACTGAGTGCAGGAGTAGGAGTAAGCCCTGAGAACCTCTAGGTGTGGCCCCAAAGCACACACCACCACATGGTCCACCTAAGCACCACTGGGAGTAGTGCACTGAGTCAGGAGTAGCCCCTGGCGTGCACACATACACACACACACACACACACACACACACACGCACACGACAAAAACAAGACTTTATTATTAAAAATACGCTAACCATTGGTGCCTTGGAGACTACTTAAAGAACTAGTATGCATTCTTTGCATGAGTGAGTCCCAAGTTCGATTCCCCAAACAACTCATCATTATAGTCCCTGACCACCACTGGTGTGGCCTAAAAGAACAAACCAACCAACTAAAAACTGCCATCATCTGAGTCTTTAGTCAGTTTAATTTTTTGTTGGTGTAATCTTGTAAAAAAAAATATAATAAAATGAGGCACAATAAAACAAAGTGTGTCTGCAATTATATTGTCTACAATTTATATTGTGTATCTTCTATACCTTCTAGCCCAGGGTGGCCTCCTTTGTACATGGACACAGTCCAGCTGCAGAGATAGATCTCAGTTTGAGTCCAGTTTCTATTACACAAGTTAAGTGTATGTGGGTTGTCAGAGACTCATTTTTCTCATCTGCAAGTGAAGTTAATGATCTATCTTAGTGGGAATTTATTAACTGAAAACAAAATCTACCAGCATAGAAATCCCCACACAGGTAGTAAAGAAAGAAAACACTTTTGTTATGGAGCATGCATTATTCCAGAGTGTGATATCCATCAGAGGCATACACTAAGACTCTGTACAGTCAGAAGGAATTCTCATGGCTCTCCACAGTCAGGCAGTATGAACCATTACAGAGATGTTCTCCAGGAACTAGTAAAAGAACTAGCATTATTATCATATGTAATCCATCCTAATTTTATCCATGTAATAGTGTGTTAGCTAATTGGATTTACTTAGAAGAAAATCTAGAGGTAGTTTCACAACATTAAAATGAGGTACCTCCAAGGACCAGAGAGATAGTTTATAGCTGGTAAGGCATTTACCTTGCCCACAACAGACCCAACTTTGATCCCTGGCATTTCATATGGTCCCCCAAGCACCACCAGAAGTAATTTTTGAGTAGAGGGCTAGGAGTCACCCCTGAGTATCTCTGGGTGTGCTCCCCTACCAAAAAAGGAGACACCTCCAAGACACCCACAGAAGTAGGAACATAGTATGTGAGCTCCCTTGTTGTGCACATCCCCAAAATACCATAGTTTGCTATTATTCCCCCCTTCCTGTCCCCTTTTGTTGCTGTTGCTACTGCCATGATGGTGGGGGGGGGTGTCACGCAACTGGGTGCTTATGAAGGGGTCACACACTTTAGTTGTAGAGCTTGCACACATTTGGATTGCAGTGTTAGGTGCTCATCTCCATGAGCACTCATTACTCACTTGGTTGCAACGCACTGGAGAGGGCTCATTTTGTTGTGGCACTGGGGATACTGAAGGACAGAGCTGTTGGGACCACACTCAGACATGTGGGGTAGTACTGGGGCCAAACTCTTGGCCTTACACCTGTAAAGCAGATATTCTAACACTAAACTATTCCTGAACCCCAAATTAACTGATACAGTTGTTTGTTTGGGGGCCACACCTGACCATGCTCAGGGGTTACTCCTGTTTTTGAACTCAGGAATCACTCTTGGTAGGCTCAGGGGACTCTATGGGATGTCAGGATTGAATCCCGGCTAGTAATGTGCAAGGGTAATGCCCTATCTCTGTGGTACTCTCGCTTCATCTCCTCAAAAATTTTTGGAGGAGGCCAAACATCACTTACTCCTCCCTTTGAGCTCAGGGAACAAACTCAGTATGGCTTTGGTGGCAAAATGTGGCACTGGATGTGGGACCCAGGGATAGAACCCAGGGAAGCCACATGCAAAGTAAGAGCCCTATCCAATGTCCCTTGACTTTTTTAACAGTCCTACTAATTTTTTTTTATTTGTAACTGTCAGACTAGTCAAAGCTGTCACATTTTGGAAACAGCTTGATATTGTGATAGTTTCCTCTAGACTGAGGACTTCAAGATTAAGGTTGTTAAGTAAAATATTCATCTGAAGAGAAAACACCAAGGTTAATTATCACACCATACAGTGGAGCATACAGTGACCTGGACGTTGGTTTGGACCAAGAACCTGATGCAGAATCACTGCACTGCATATTGTCCCCAGAGAACTGCCAACTGTGGCTCCTGAGTAGGGTTGGAAGTGATTCATGAGCATCACTGGGTGTGGCCCAAAAGGAAAGAAAGAAGAAAGAAAGAAAGAGAGAGAAAGAAAGAAAGAAAGAAAGAAAGAAAAAGATTATTTAATGAAACAGTATTTTACTTCATTCGAGGGGGGGGTGACTATTTCTTTCCTTATAAGCAAAAGATTTGGCTCAACTTCAAATATTTCACTGGCAACTAGGAATTTGTAGCAAAAGACAGGGTAAAGGTTAGAGGTCAGAAAATTATCAGAGTAAGCCCTGAGCACCAAAACAAAAATAAAACAAAAGGAATCATCAGGAGTGAAATGAGAGTCTAGTTAAATAGAGCTGGCCACAGTGATTAGACATTTGAGCTGAACTGTGAGGAATCCAGTTAGTTCTGGAGGTTGGGAAGTTCTGATTACATTGACATGGCTGTTTGATTGCTAAAACTGGAAAATGCAGAGACAAAGTCCAAAAGTCAGTCTGGTCGGAAGAGTTCAGGTCAGCCTGAATAGGTTAATGAGAGAATCTTTGTCAGCTTTCCTCTATATTGCTCAGTCCCTTGGTTTTCATTAACAACTGAATATTCTCTGAGCTCTTGTTACATGCAAGGCACACAGTGTTATGTACTTTAGATATATATAATATCCTTTCAACAGTCCTGCCAGGCAGATCTAATTTTCTTCAATTCAAAGATGATGTACACTGGTGAAGGGATGGATGGGCATCGGAACATTGTATGACTTAAACCCAATCATGAACAACCTTGTAACTGTGTGTCTCACAGTGATTCAATTAAAAAAAAAACTTTCAAAAATAATTAAAAATTAAAAAACAAAAATATGAGAAACACTAAAAACAAAAACTGAAGTGAAGGCTAGGAGTTACGTGCCTAGAGTAATCGCATCGGAGTTCAAAACCACGTTTTTTGGATGTAAATGCCCACTCTGTTCAAGTCTAAACAGGGCAAAAAAGACAACGCTGTCACCCAAAACCTTCACAAGTTTAGGCATGCTTTCAGCCATCTTCCTCTCAATGCCCGCCAGACGCCCAGGGCCGAGTCCAAGGGCCCCGCCCCTCCCCCTACCCGGGACCCAGTGCCCAGGTGAGCTCCAACGCCCGCGGCCTGCCTCTCCTTCCCTCCACTCCTCCAGAGAGGCAGCTCCGCCCAGCGCTCAGCAGTAACCAATAGCGGCACTCGTTGCGCGTGAGCTCCGCCCGCCCCGCTTCGCTCCGCCTGCTGATTGGGAGCCCCGGGGGGCGGGGCCCGGGGCGGGGCGTGCCAAACTCAAGTAGTGGAGAGCCGCGTCCGCGCGCCAACCGTGGGTTCCGGGCGCTCCGGGCTGTCACGTGGCGGCGCGGGGCCAGGCGCAGATCTGCGAGAGCGTTTTGGGTCGGCGGGCTGCATCCGGGCGCTGGTGCTCCGGACCACGTTTCGGTAGGTGCGAGGTCCCAGGCCCTCGGTCCCCCGCGGCGCAGAAGCTCTTCGTGAGTGCCTGGGTTGGGGCTTCGGAGGTCGTGGCCTCCGTCTTGGGCGCAGATGCCAAGGCTTATTGTAGCTGTCTCCTGAGCAGTTTTTGAAAAGCGACTGAGCCCTTAGAATTGAGTGCAGCCTTTCACCCTTAATCTTCCTGCACTACCCTCACACTAGGTGCAGTTGTATGCTCTCCTTCCCGTTTCACAGCTGCGGGTAAGGCGCAGAGAGGAGAGCCAGCTTGGGCGTTCATGACCCAGCAGCCAGGAAAATGGGGTGGAACTGAGACCCGGAAACCCCCGGAGCCTTAACCTCTAAGACCCGGTCGGTCGCTCAGCTTTTGGAGAGTAGCACCGGCGTCCTGCAGGGGGAGGGAGTAGGGGGAGAAGGCTGTGACTGTCATCTGCCCACCCGCGCTTTCAGAAACAGACATGGCACTGTACGGTTCTTGGCTTAGTGCCCTTGTTTCAAGGCCCTGGTAATTGTGGCCCCAGCACAAAACACGCGTCTTCAGAGGGGCGCCTGTACCGGAAACACCAGTTTCCGGGCATATGTGAGTGGACTTGCTGGGGAGGGGGGCGATTGCTTCTACTAGGTGCTTTGGAGTGAGAGCTAAGTGAGAGTTCAGATTCTGACTTCTTCGATGACCCTCGGTGACCCTCGGCCGCTGAGCTCTGGGTCCCCTCCCCCTCTGCAGAGCAGAGGACACAGGATCTGTGTGTGTGGCACCCATGGTGTTCACTAGGGTTTCCTTGCAGACTTCAGACGGGTTCCACTTGTGTGACCAGAGTCCAGGCAAGATGTGGAGGTCCCGGAGGATGGGGCGCTGGCAACTGGTGTAAATGGAATTATTAAAAAATACTCCGGTGAATGGATTCACCCTCCAGACCTCATTACCTGGAGTGGAGATAAGGATCATACCACACATGTTACTGATGGACCAACAGTGAGCTGTGGCTTTTTCAGCACCCGTGGTGGGTGCAGCAGACACCCTGAGGTGCCCACCAGTACTTACAGAGCATCATAGTTAGGATGACCTGAAGGCCTGTTTTTTTTTAAATAACAATAGTAGCTTATAATTAAAAAAAATAACTTTAGTGAGTTATCAGTTTAGTTTCAGACATTCCGTATTCCAGCACCAGTCCCACCACCACTGCACCTTCCCCCTACCATTATTTCCAATTTTCCTAACCACCCTTGAGCCTGCCCCCATAGCAGTCCCTTAATAATTTATTTTGCATTGCTTGTTATAATTTGCTAAAAGGATGACCAAAAATAAAATACAAACAACAGCAGGTAGGAGTAGGCATTCAAAAATTTGTCAGCTACTTAGAAGGTTTTTGTGCCATCCCTGCTATGCTGAGGGGCGGGGGCAGGGACAGAGTTACTCCTAGTGGAGGGCTTGGAGGTCTCCTGCATGCAAAACATGCGATCCAGCCCTTTAACTGTGTATGGGCCCTTTTTTTTTTCCCTTTGGAATGCTGGGGATCAAACTCAGGGCCACACAGGTGCAGAGTTCTCCATTCTGAGCAGCACCACCTGACAACGGTGTTCTGGGCACTCTGGCAGCTCATTCCCTCTCACGGTCAGCTTTGGGATTGTTGTCATCCTGTGTACTTGCGAGGGGCCTGAGACACAGAGTGTCAGTGTCCGCGGCTGGACCACAACACTTTGCCTATCTCTGAAGGGCCTCGGCCTAGCCTGCACTCTTCATTATCATGGCGCTGGCAGCCAAGAGTCTCCTCCCCCATAGAGAACACAAAATCAGAGATACCCAGCTGCTCACGCTTTACGAAAGAAACTCTTGTCTTCTCCCTTTGGGATTTCTCCGATTGTGAGTTTCAGGTTTCACAGGTGGATTGAGAAAATCTTTGCTCAAAGCCGAGGCTTCTGAGAAACAGTTTGGAGTTCCCTACGTGTAAGGTTCACTGTTTACTTGTCAGGGCTAGAGCGATAGTACAGCGGGGTGGGTGCTCGGCTTGCACGCAGCTGACCTGGGTTTGTTCTCCAGCATCCTATATGGCCCCCTGAGCCCGTCAGGAGTGATCCGTGAGTGCAGAGCCAGGAGTAAGTCCTGAGCACAAATCTCTCTGGCCCCAAACAAAACAAACCCGAAAAACTGTTTAGTTTTGGTGCCTGGGCTCAAACCCAGGGCCTCAGACATGCAAGTCAAGCTAAAGCTGAGTTACAAGTTACTGGGTCCCATCTCTGGTGGGCCTGATTTCTTCAGATGGCAAACTTCCACTTTTGGACCTTTGCTCCTGGGGTGTGTTCTGCCTGGAACACTTGTACATGTCACAACCTTGCTGCCTTTCCCACTATTCACAGCTCAGCTCAGAAACCTTCCACAGCCTGGTCCGGATACCTCCTCCCTCCACCCCCCAACCCTTATACTGGCCTCATAGCGAGTATCACTGATCTGTGTGTTTGTTTACTGGCCAGTGGTGAGCACAGAACCTCTGTCCTATGGCTCTTGGTTCTTACTGTCTACCACAGCGCCAGGACGCAGCTCAATATTTGTTGAAGGAATGAATGTTTTCTTTGCAGATTAATAACAGTGGATTATAGGTATTGAATATCAGAAGTTTCTTTTGAATTAAATAAAGAATCCTTGTGATTTAGCACTTTTGCTTCTGGATCTATTCCCAAAAAAATGGAAAGCAAGGGCTTGATGCTTGCACGTCCAAGTTCATGGTTGTGCTTTGTTTACAAGAGCCAAAAGGTCAGAAGAACTGGAATATCTGCAGACAGGTGAATGAATTAACAAAATGCGTTTGATGTATATATTGACGTATTATTCACTCATAAAAGGAAGACAATCCTGGCACCTGCGCTAGCATAGTGAATTTTGAATACATTGTGCTGAGAGAAATTAGCCAGACATAAAAGGACATTTTTTTTTTTTTTTTTTTTTGCTTTTTGGGTCACACCTGGCAATGCTCAGGGGTTACTCCTGGCTCTGCACTCAGGAATCACTTCTGGTGGTGCTGGGGAACCGTATCGGATTCCAGGAATCAAACCCAGGTCGGCCGTGTGTGAGGCAAACACCCTACCCACTATACTATTGCTTCGGCCCCTAAAAGGACAATTATTGAATGAATTCTTTCCCATGGTATCGAGGTAATCTAATTTATGGCAATAGAATGCAGAATCTTTTTCTATGGGCTTAGAGAAGAGGGAATGGAGAGTTTATCAGCTCTGTAGTTCGTTTGGAATGGTGGAAACTTCTAAAGCTGGATGGTGGAGATGGTTGTACAACCGTGTGAATGTATCTAGTAACAATTTAAAAAATGGTTAGACGGGGCTCAAGAGATAGTATAGTGGCAAGGTGATTGTTCTGCAGGCGGCTGACTCTGCATCAATCCCTGGCATCGCATATGGTCCCCCAAGCACTACCAAGAGTGATCCCTGAGCACAGTACCAGGAGTAAGCCCTGAATAAGTCGGGTGTGCCAAAACTCAAAATAGGTAAATAGTTAAAGAGTAAGGGATATAGCTCAGTGGCAGAGCATGAGCCTTGCATGTGTGAGGTCCTGGTTTCCATCCCTGGCACAGCAAAAAACAAAGACAAATGGTAATTTTTTTTTATGAGGTCTATTATGGCGCTCAGAAAAAGAGGAAAGGTCAAGATATGTTATTTTTCATACATATTTCTCCTGAGGAGATGCAGCGGAGCCAGAGTGACAGTAGCTGGAAGAGGATCAGGCCCAGACGTGACCAACTCAGCACTGGTGGCCCACCAGCACCACAGAACCGAGCCACACCACATCCTCCAGGCTGAGCTGGGCAGGGGTCCCCAGGAGAGGCCCGGCTCCTGAGTACTGCATGGGAGACTCCACTTCTTCCCCACTCCCCCCAAAAGAGTAAAGTTGCTGTGTATGTCTTCCCTAATGTAGCATAATATCATCATAACGTTTATTGTAAGCATGGTTTCTTCCCTTGGCATATAAGAAGGTACAGGATTTTTTTTTTTTTTAATCAACTATCTAAGCATCCCTAAACCTTCTCAGGTTGGCACATAATGAGCTAAAGTACTCCAGATATTTGCCTCTTCCTGCAATTCAGAATGACATCGTGGATATAATAGATGTAATGAAAAAAGAAAATTTTGTTTGTTTTCATTTGAGTTTGGCAGCTTCGCTTAGGGGAACTTTCAGTGTCTTGATCAAGTCTCAGCTTCCCCCTGTTGAGCTGTCTCTCTGGACAGGACAAAGAATCTTGAATGCTTTGTTTGCATAACAAATCAGACTTTGTTGAAGGGGGAGGGGCGGTGGGAGAAGCTCCTAACAGTGTGATGGTTTGGATTGGATCTGACTACAGCTCCAAGCTGTTGTTGCTTTGGCCCAAATAGTCCAACATTTTCATGATTAAAAAACAAGTTGGGGTTGGAGCAATATACAGTTGAGAGGGTGCTTGCCTTGCATGCAGTTGACCCGGGTTCAATCCCCAGCATCCTATATGGTCCCCTGAGCACCAGCAGGAGTAATTTTGAAGTGCAAAGCCAGGAGTAACCCCTGAGAATGGCCAGGTGTGGCCTAACAACTAAAAACCAAGGAAGAAAAAGCATCTTTTGGGTTCAAGTTGTAATTTAATAGGGGCAGGATGAAGCCTTTGGGGGTGGCCTGGATCCTAAATGTCCAAGGATACAGGGTAGAAAACTGCCAGTGGGTGAGCAGGATGGCGGTGCTGGTCTGAGAAGGGGAAGGTGCAGAGGGGGAGGAGACACCTGTCTAGCGTCTTGGATAAGAGACAGCTGTGCTGGGGCTGGAGCAATAGTATAGTGGGTAGCATGCTTGCAACTGACCTGGGTTTGATTCCTGGCACCACATATTATCCCCCAGATGCCACCAGGAGTGATCCCTGAGCACAGAGCCAGGGATACACACCCTGGCTGGGATAAGCCCAGGTCTGGGATACACACGGAAAAAACGGCTATGCCAGGATGAGGTGAGGGAAGGAGCGGAGTAGAACTGAAAGGATTTCTACTCATCTCATGGTCCTTGGAGAAGTAGGGTATTTGGTGGTTCAAGAATGTCTTCTCATGGAATTCGTGCCCAATTCAATCAGCTGATCAGTGGCTGAATGAATAGCAGTACTCCTACCTTAAAAAAAAAAAGAATGTCTTCTCTGCAAGACTTGTTACCTTTGAGTTCCTGCTACCATTGCTTAGTCAAAAGAATCTTTTCTCTTCATGAGTCTGGAAGCAGAGGGTTTAGTTTGACTCCACCACTTGGTGTGGGGGTGGGGCATGTGTTTGCTGCCTGAAAGGTTGCCTTGGGTTGCTCTGGCTGTTCTAGAATGTGGACATCGGTGCGAAACTGCTAGTGGACATAGTACCCCAGCTGTTAGCTTGACCATCACACTCATGTCTGCTTGGCCTCCACATGTGGCACTGAAGTTGCCGCAGAAGTGGCTTTTAAGTCTTTGTGCCTCTTTTACATTTTGTAAACATGACTACTCCTTCCTTCCTTCCTTCCTTCCTTCCTTCCTTCCTTCCTTCCTTCCTTCCTTCCTCATCTTGCAGGGCAGAGTATCCACATTCCTTCAGTTGTGGTCGGAAGCTTAACTTGCATACAGCTGAACCTAGCTTGATCTCTGGCACCCCATATGGTCTTCCCCAAGCACCAGCTGACGTAAGCCTTGAGCACTGCTGAGTGTGACCCCAAAACAAAACAAAGATGCCACAGTCATTGGCAGCAGGTCCCTAGGTACTTCACAGCTTCTGTTCAACTTGGCCACAAGCAGGAGATTCCTGTGACCTTGGGCACCTTCTTCCCCTTGGGTTTGATTCTTTGCTGGAGTGGCTCACAGACCTCAAGCCAGAACACTGGTTAACCAGGCCACCAAGGGATTGATCGAGGACACAGACAAGCAGACAGGAGAGATAGGTGGGGTGTGGCCTTGGAGGTCCCCAGTGTAGGGACTTCCCAAGTGAAATTTCCTGCAGTTTGTCACCTTCTAGATACAGGGATTTTCTTCCTGGACTCTGAGAGCGAAATGCAGTGGAGACTGGTGAGGATTTGCCTGTGGCCATGCCAGGTGGAACTTCATTCCACAGATGGGGCTGTGGATGTGACTGGCGGCATCTTGCCATGCTTTTTCGTCCTTCTGGTAACCAGGCCACAGCCTGGACCCAGCAAGGGACCTCTGTGAGAATAGAAGACACTGCTGTCCCCTGGAAACCCCATGGGCTTTAGGACCCCTGTGTCAGAGACAGGGTAAAGTGGCCGTGTTTGAACACAGGGTGTCCCCCTGGGTGCTCGTCCTGCTCAGGAAATGACAAGTGTTTTCAGTGCAGAGACCAGTGCCTGGGGAAGGGGCTCGCCCGCATGGTTGTGAGTTCAGTCTCCATGGCACTTGCTTCACTTAATTTTTGTATTTTTCACTAATGCTGGGAATTTAGCCCAGGGCCTCACATGCATGCATTGTGTGTCCTCTGCGCTCAGCCCAGCCCCTCAGACCTGCTCATCTGTTTGGACCCCTCTGTCTTCCCAGCACCAATTCCATGGCTGGCATGGGAAGGGCCTTGATAAATAATTGTGCAGTTCTTGTGATGCCCTGGGATTCAGTCACTGGCACCTCAAGAACAGAAATAAGCCCCCCCCCCAAAAAAAATCAATGAATAGTTGTGGAATTTTGAGTGGAAGCTTACCAAATTTGGGGACCAGAGAACCAGCACGGGGTTAAGATGTGTGTGTACCTTGCATTTGGCTGACGCCTGCACTCTCCACTGCGTGGCCTGGTACCCCAGACACTGCAGCCCAGAGGGGGCCCAACCCTCAGTGTCTCCTCGGCACTGTTAGCCCTCAGCAGTACCAGACTGTTGACCCTTGTCCCAGTTGGCCAAGAATTTAATGTGAGAGGCCCCCAGGCCTCCTAAGCACCTCCTGGGGTAGGAGTCTTAGAAACCTACTTTACTAAACTTGCATTTTTGCACCAAGACTGCCGGGCTTGTGCCTTGGAGCAGAGCATCTTTGGGACAGACCCCCAACCCACCTTCTGGGTGTACCCCTTTGAAAACTCGAGGCATATTTTGCAGACAGCTGTTCAGTGGGGTTGGGTTTCCAGATGAACTGAGCCTGGCAGGGGCACCCTGTCATTGTCACCGCGGGGTTGTGTTTCAGCACAGACACGCTTTAGCACACAGCGTGGAAGGAAATGCGGGTGTTCTTAGAGTGAGCATACAAGGGTGTTAGGTATAACCCAACCTTAGGCTAAGACACTTTCTTTTTCTGAATATTTTAATTTTTTTTTGAAGGGGGTCCTGGGCACACCCGCCAATGCTCAGGGATTATTCCTGGCTCTGTGCTCAGGAATTATTTCTGGCCATGCTTGGGGGACCATATGGGATGCTGGGGTTGAACCCGGGTCAGCTGCAAGGCAAATGCCCTACCGTCTCTAATATCCAGCCTCTAATTTGATTTTTATTCTTATTGAGATTCTGTGATTGACAATATTGTTAATTGTTTCTCATGCATATAATTCTGATGCTGTACCCCATTACCAGTGTACCCACCTCCCTCAACCACACACCCCAGTGATCCTCCCTCTCGAGGCCCTCCCACCACAACCCAATTGTGAGGGGTGCGTTTCCCCATTATGTTGCCTTTGACTCCTTGTTCCTCCCTTCTCTGTCCCTTTCAGTCCCACTTAGGAGAGGGATCGTTCTGTATCTATCCCTTTTCTTCTGACCGACTTCACACAGCATAATAGCCTCTAGTTCTGTCCATGTTGCTGTGAATTGCATGATTTTATTCTTTCTCAGAGCTGCATAGTATTCCATTGTCTATCTATGCCCCAGTGTCTTGATCCATTCACCCCTCACTGGGCATTTGGGTTGTTTCCAAATCTTGGCAATTGTGTAGAAGTACAGTGATAAGCATAGGCCTGCAGAGATCCTTTTGAATTAATGGTTTTGTGTTTGGGGGATAGATTGAATCCTCATTTATATTGTTTGGAAGAATGAAAAGAGAATTTTATTTATTTAACAATTCATTTGTTCAGTCAATTGGCAAATATCAATTGGCAAATATCACTCCTATAAACAAACTAGAGGAGTTTGTGTTTGGCCTTGAGTGGGGGTGCTCAGGGGCTCCTCCAGCTCTGTGCTTGGGGGTCCATATGGTGCCAGGAGTTGAACCCAAGCTTCCTGCGTGCACAGCACATGCTCCCTCCCATTGAGCAGTTGCTGCAGCCATGTAGGAGGTTTGTAAAGGAAAGGAGCATGCAGTCCTTGGCCCCCAGGGAGTTAGAGCAGTTGGAATGGACTGTAACCAGGAAGGTTCGGCTCTGAGGTGATGACGCAGGGGTTGGGCCTGGTCAGGCCTCACGGCAGGAGGGTGGTTCTCCCTCCTCCCTAAACTGACCCCCCAGAGGTCAGAAAGAAACCTGAGGTTCCACATAACAGTTTTGCAAGAGAATGTCGTCATGTTTACTGGACAAGCCTGAGAGAACATCGAAAACCAGTGTCAGTACTTAGCAGCTCGGGACATAAGCTTTGCCTGGCAGTAACAGAAGTTTTCCCATTTTCAGGCAGTGATGGCGAACCCCATCAATGGAGCGCCCAGAGATGCTGAGCTGTGGGCCTCACATGAGCAAATGCTGGCCCAGCCCTTGAAAGACAATGACATTGAGGTGAGATCTGTGGGTCCTCCTAGATGTCACTGGGCAGAAGGTGCAGCTTAACTCTGCAGGTTTGGTCCCAAGGCAGCGTCGCAGCACAGTGTACAGGCTTTGGCACGGAGCGCAGGAGGAGGAGCAGCTCATACACAGTGCGGCCATGTCCGCGGGTACAGAGCCGGGTCTCTCCCTGCAGAAGGCAGACCGCAGCTCAGGGACTCTGGAAGGGCGTCGCTGAAGTCTGACCCTGCCTTCCCATTCTTCAAGGCTATTCCAGACACTGGGAATATTTTTCTTTATTTTCAAACTTTGGTCCCATCCCAGATGTGCTTTGGAAGCCATGCAGTGCTGAGCATTGAGCCCAGGGCCTCAAACATACCTTTGAGCTCTCTCTCGGCTCTGTGTATTTTTCCCCCCACCTTATTTAAAAACTGGTGTTTACAAAGTTGTTCATGATTATTTGTTACAGGCATTCAATATTCCAACCCCAGTCGCATCACAACTGTCACCTTCCTTCCGCCATTGTCTCCATTTTCCCAACCACCCCTCAAGTCTGCCCCCATGGCAGGCCTGCAATAATTTATTTCATATTGCTTATTACCACTAAATAGAATAATCAAAAAATATTTCCGTAGAAGAAAATTTGTGAAAATTGTTGGATCTCACCATGAGGACTTTAAGTCCTTCTCTGAAGTTTTCTAAACTATTGTTCTTTCTCAGAGCTGCATAGTATTCCATTTCTAAGCCCAAAAGCCAAAAAATAAATAGAATAGTTGTTGTTTTTTATTTGCTTTTTGGGTCACACCCGGCAATGCTCAGGGGTTACTCCTGGCTTTGCACTCAGGAATCACTCCTGGCGATGCTCAGGGGACCATATGGGATGCTGGGAATTGAACCCGGGTCCGCCGCATGCAAGGCAAACGCCCTACCCGCTGTGCTATTGCTCCAGTCCCCAGTTTGTTTTTTTTTAAAGATTTATTTATGAGTCTGGAACAAGGCTGATAGGTGAGCTTACATGGAGGTGGTGATGGTTCATCTCTGCGTATTTTTTTTATCAGCTTTATACATGAGATATTACTTGTCATGCAGGCCACCCATTTAAAATGCACAATCAAGGATTTTATAGTTGTATATTCAGTCAACTATAAAATGTTTATGTTTCCTCTTAGAAACATATACATTTTAGGTCTCAGACCCATTACCAGTTACTCCGAAGCTTCCAAACTATCCAGTCTTAGGCAACCACTTTCCTACTTTCTGTCTCTGATTACCTCAGCATCTTTTATGGTAAGGAGGAAGCAGAAAGAGAAGGCTCCAGGCAGGAGAAACTTGAAGTTTAGGTAAAGAAATAACAGGAAGGTGAAAAATTAAAAATTAGACTGGGTACTTATTTGGTGAATATTTTAAATTTTGGTTTATTCCTTTATTCTTAAGGACACAGCGAGCTGTGCCTAGGGCTTCCTTCTGGCTCTGCTCTCTGGGGTCACTCTGAGTGATGGGGGAGGGGACCGTCTCTGCCAGAGATCCAGTCAGTGTCAGCTGTGTGCTGGGCACGCACCATAACCCCTGCAGTATCTCTCTGGCCCTGATTATTTATTTATATACTTTTTTTTTTCTTTTTGGGTCACACCCTTGCAATGCACAGGAATTACTCTTGGCTCTGCACTCAGGAATTACTTCTGGCAGTAGTAATTCAGGGGACCATGTGGGATGCTGGGAATTGAACCTGGGTCAACACGTGCAAGGCAAGCACCCTACCCACTGTGCTCCAGCCCCTCTTTATCTACTTTTTTTTAAAAAATAATTTATTTATTTATTGAATCACTGTGGGAAAGGTTACAAAGCTTTCAGGTTTAGGTCTCAGTCATGCAAATATCAAACACATTTCCCTTTACCAATACTTATTTTTCACTACAAAGAACCACAATAAACCCCCCACACCCCCCAATGCCTGTGAGGCAGATGAATTCTAGTTAACACTCTATCTACTTTGACTAGATTCATTGTTTCGATAAAAGATGCACCATTATTATTTAGAGTTTACCTACCGCCCCCCCCCCCCCAAATCAGACATGCTGAAAAAGCACTGTGAAATGATTTGCTTTCTACAACTGGGTTCAAGAATTAAATGATGTCTGGATTTCTGCTATTTTACTTATTAACCCTGGAAGTATTTCTACTGAGAGTCAGATAATTAAGACATTGGTTTCTGTGCTCTGGAGTCATGGCCGTGCCGGAGAGCCGCTCGTGGGGTCTTTATCTACTTTTTAAGTATTGTTTTAGAGCCATACCTGGCAGCACTCAGACTCCGCAGTCACTATAGGTGGTGCTCGGTGGACTGTGGTATTGGGGATCATGCCTCCTCTATGCAAAGCATGTGCTCAGCCTCCTGGAGTTCTCTCTGGCCCAGGAGACTACTTTTAAAGGTCATTTTCTTTCAGTCATATCATTTTCTGTAATTCATTGTCTTCTGTCAATTCCTTCTCTAATTTTCTCTTGTCTTTGCGTGCTCTCGAGTTTTTTAGTTTGAGTACTGGGGGGCTAGATTGATGAAGTGGTTAGGGCACTTGCCTTATGCACAGCTGACTCCGGTTCCATCCCAGTGATCCCTGAGCACAGCCAGGTGTGACCCAAAACACAAACAAAAAGCATGAGTATTGGGATTATGATATCATGATCCTTTGTCGAAGGCACAATGCGAATCTAATGTAGTGGCTTTTTTTTTTCTCATCAGGTTTACAACATCATCAAGAAGGAGAGTCATCGGCAGAGGGTGGGGTTGGAGCTCATCGCCTCAGAGAATTTCGCCAGCCGAGCAGTTTTGGAGGCTCTAGGCTCTTGCTTAAACAACAAATACTCCGAAGGGTACCCAGGCCAGAGGTACATGAGTGTTGCCGAAGCCTGTGCTGAGCCTCTGTCATGAGCTGCTGATGAACTGAAGCAGTGGCCACCTAAAACAGCAGCTTTCTCCTCAGGGTGGATTCTACCCAGAGGCTCTCTTGCCCCTACCAACCCACTTACAGTCCCAGCATGTGACAACAGTGTCCTTGCAGCAGGTCTACCTGGGCTTTCTAGATGAACGGGCCAGTCCACAGGGAGCCTGGTATTTTTTAGCCTTAAGAAAGGAGGTCAGTGTTCCTGAGGGACCCACGAGAGGTGGTTCTGGCTTTGTGAGCAATGACCTGGAAGTAAAACTTGAATCTGTGGTGCTGGACCCCAGTGTCACATTTATGTGTGCAGAGATTTCTGTCAGCTGCTTCACCCTGAGAACCATACGAAGTTATTCAGGAGGCCTAGAGGTGATCCCTGATACTTCACACTGGGGTGTAGGACCTGGTAGCATTTCTCCTCCATCTGTTCTGTTCTAAGTGAAAGTGGATATGGGGAAGAGCCTCCCCGTTGTGTAGACGAAGTTGATTTGAAGAGCGTGGCTAGGGTCCCAGGTCAAAGCTAGGTGTTTTTTATTGTTACTATTTTTGGTTTGGGGGCCATTCCTGGCAGTGCTCAGGGGTTATTCCTGGCGGTGCTTGGGGACCATATGGGATCTTGAGTCTGCAAAGTGATCTTCTGGAGCTTTAAGTGAAGAGCCTCTAGATTGCTTGATTTGTAATTTTTTGTTAATTTTTTTTTAGCTCATGGATCAGGAGTAAACCCTGAAACCCTGAGCAAAAATACTGTAGTACTGTCCTCCCATTGTTTATCGATTTGTTTGAGTGGGCACCAGTAACATCTCCATTGTGAGACTTGTTACTGTTTTCTGCTTATCAAATGCGCCATGGGGAGCTTGCCAGGCTCTGCCATGTGGGCGGGATACTCTCAGTAGCTTGCTGTTTCTCTGAGAGGGACGGAGGAATCAAACCCGGGTCGACTGCGTGCAAGGCAAACGCCCTACCTGCTGTGCTATCGCTCCAGCCAAAGAAAAAAACAAAAACTGACAAACGAAGTGTCAAGTAAAAGTCATACTTCTGTATGCCATGGTAAAACATTATAGCATAAAGTTTACTGTCTTTTGGGGTTTTTTTTTGGGGGGTGGGCACACCCAGTGGTGCTCAGGGCTTATTCCTGGCTCTGCTCAGAGATTACTCCTATCAATGCTCAGGGGGCCATATCGGATGCAAGGGATCAAACTGGGTCAGCTTCATGCAAGACAAGTGCCCTGCCCGCTGTGCTACTGCTCTGGCCCCAGGGTACACTGTTTTGAAGTGTACTACAGCACAGTGATACCAGTTCACTTACAGTGTTTCTTAGTTGCCATCATCTTCCCTCTGCTGAGCTTTTTTGGTTTGTTTTGGGAGCCACACCCAGCAGTGCTATGGGCTTACTCCTGGCAATGATGGGGATTACAGTGGTGGCAGGGACTGAACCCAGGTAGGCCGCATGCAAGGCAAGCACCCTACCCGCTATGCTGTCTCTCTGGCCCCCCAGGACTTTCTCACATAGTAGAAACAGAGATCTATCCATCATCCCCAGCACAAACTCATGAGAAGATGGTGAGCTCTTTTAGGAAAAACAGAAAATAATAAGTGTCAGCAGAGTTGGGGAAGACTTCGGAGCCCTAGTCAGTGGGAGGGTTAATGGTGCCAGTGCCAGAAAGTAGAGTCGGAGGCTCTTCCCACGGCTAGAATAGAATTACTAGAATTATGAATACAGTGATCCAACTTCTGGGTAAGATTGCCAGCAGAACTTAAAAATCAGGCTCTGAAGCAAAATTTGTTCATCTCTGTTGGTTGCTACCATCGTTCCATAGTAGCCAAGAACGAGGGGCCAATTGCTCATGAATGGAAAAGCAAAACAGGGCAGACACATAGTATATGCTTTGAAGCAAGGACAGGGGCCAGAGCAATGGGACAGCGAGGAGAGGAGGGTGCTTGCCCACACATGGCTGACGCAGGTTTGATTCCCAGTATGGGGAGAACAGTTAGGAGTGACCTCAGAGGGCAAAGCTAGGAGTCTGAGCACTACTGGGCGTGGCCCAAGAACAAACAAAGCTTAAGTAGAATAAAACAAGGACATTCCGGGGCTAGCTGCATGGAAACTTGAGGCCATTATATATAAATGAGGTGAATCAGTCAGACCAGTACAGTGTGGGGCTGCCTGTACGAAGTGTATTGAGTAGTACAACTCGGCAGAAACGGGGGAGTTTGATGGGTCAGTTTCATTTGTATAAGATAAAGTTCCATAGATCTGTGACACAACTGTGTGTATATAAGTAACACTACTGAAGAATGTGTTTAATAGCATGACTGGACACTGCTGCTTTGAAGCGGTTGAGATGGTGCATTTTGTTAGGCGTGGATTTGCATGTGGGTGTGTCATTCTGGGAATGGAACCCGAGGCCTTGCATATCTAGAACTTGTGCTTTACAACAGTTACATCCTTCCCACCCGATACATATTTCTTTACTGTAATAAGAAAGCATTATACATTTCATTAAGAAATTGACAGTTGTGACCACAGGCTAACTTAGTGTTAAAAATTTCTAGATTGAGTAGTTATGATGATCAGTTTACAAGTAATTCAAAACAAATGTGTTTTTTTAAAAATGAATATGTTTAATCACTTATTAAGTATGTGATTATTAAGTGGCAAGCAAAATTTTACTAGCAATACACAAAAAGCAATAATTCTCCCATCTGGGGGCCAGAGCAATAGTACGGCAGGTAAAGTGTTTGCCTTATATGCAGCTGACTTGGGTTCAATCCCCAGCATCTTGTATGTTCCCCTGAGCACCACCAGGAGTGATTCCTGAGTGCAGAGCCAGGAGTAATCCCTGAACACAAGCTCGGTGTGACCCAAAAATTTTTTTTAAAAAAGTTCTCCATCTGTCTCTTCCCGCGCAGCCCCATTCTAATTTGTGCCTGATGTGTTGTTGTGTAAGGGGAAGGCGACAGTTGTAAGGGACTTGTTTTATGCCATGTCCCTTCCTCAGAGTCCTCCCCTGTGGCTTGTGTCGGAATTTCCGTAGAGACAGACCTGGCTCACTCACAGCCGCATGGTCTCCCAACCGCACACCCCGGCAGCTGATGGGCGATTGGGTACAGGGTGCGCGTTCTAACCCCTTCTCTGCTTCTCTGTCTGGCGCTGAGCTGCTTTTTCATCTCTGAACTAGTATAGAAGTCTGGCTCACCGCGGGCTCGGTCTCCTGCTTTCTCCCCAGGTACTATGGTGGCACCGAGTTCGTCGATGAGCTGGAGATCCTTTGTCAGAAGCGAGCACTGCAGGTCTATCACCTGGACCCCCAGTGCTGGGGGGTCAACGTCCAGCCCTACTCTGGTAACTGCCAAAGGCAGACAACCCTATGCCTGCGTGACCTCTGCCCCCGCCCCTCCGAGAGGAGACTCAGAACACAGCCCCCAAAGCAGCTTCCAGGCCTAGAGAGGCCTCCTCACCCCGTCTTCCTGCAGTGTTCTGGCTCTGACTGTCCCGCTCTTGCTTATTCTCAAAGGGGGTGCCCAGAATGAGTCCCTCATGCCTGGCTGGGTGGCATAGTGGGGAGCGCATTTGGCCTTGAGGCATGGCGATGGCCATGCCTGCTCTGGCCACCCCGAGTGGCTATGCTCTGGGTTGAGGTCCGTGCACCCCTTTCGTCTGCCCTTTCCAGGATCCCCTGCAAACTTCGCTGTGTACACGGCACTGGTGGAACCCCACGGGCGCATCATGGGCTTGGACCTGCCCGACGGGGGCCACCTCACCCATGGCTTCATGACGGATAAGAAGAAAATCTCTGCCACGTCCATCTTCTTTGAATCCATGCCCTATAAGGTGCGTACGTGTTTCTCCCCGCCGCTCTGGTGTCCTCGGGCTCCCATGGGCCTGTGTAATGGCGCCATCGTGGTTTTCCGCCCTCTGCACAGGGCTCGTCCAACTTTTCCTGGGCACTATTGTCCTGCGATGGGGGTTGCTGGGATAAAGAGCAGCAGGGTTGAGCTGAGGCGCTGTGAGGGGCTCTAGGGGACTCCCCTGCGTGGGAGAGCAAGTTGGCCACTCTAGCACTGAGGCAGCACCCACTGGGGTGTCAAGGCTCAGTTCCGGCACCATCTGGAGACCCCACGGCACACAGCCCTCTACCACCTCAGAGCCTGTTCTGCTCCAGGAGGGGCCCTCCCGTGGCACAGACCTGTGAGCCCACAGCAGCCTGCACAAGCCAAGCCTTCAGCGTGGACCAGGCGGGTACCCAGGGCTCTGGGTAGAGCAGGTCCCAGCCAGGCCACACATTGGCTGTAGGCCAGTTTCTTCACTGTTTTTTCCCCCCTGATGGGTAGCCTGGAGCAGACTGAGGGGTGTCTTGGTCTTGCAAGTCTGGTGCTGTACCCCTTTCCCCCCATCATCCTGTTTCTGGTTTTTGGTTATTTTTTTGTTTTGGGGGGCCATACCTGGCAATGCTCAGAGGTTACTCCTGGCTCTGCACTAAGGAATCACCCCAGGGATGCCAGGGACCGAACCCTGGTCAGCCATATGTAAGGCAAATGCCCTCCCCGCTGTGCTCAAGTCCATGAATTTTCTCGCCATTCTTTGTGTGTATGTGGTGGTGGTGGTTTTGAGGCCACACCCAGAGGTGCTTAGGGATTAGTCCTGGCTCAGCACTAGAAATTAGTCCTGGTGGGCTTAAGGGACCAGATGGGATGCTGGGGATTGAACCCTGGTCAACTGTGTGCAAAGTAAGTGCCCTACCTGCTGTGTTATCTCTCCGACCCCCAGCACCCCTTTTTAGATGCACTTGTAGGCCATACCCCTGTGGCCCAGTGGCAGCTTGAGGGTGAGGAGAGTGGGGCCCAGGACTTTGGCAGTGTGGGCCGCAGGGGGCAACTCAGATCCTGGACAGGCGTCCTTGGACACCTGCTTGGGCAGGGAGATAGGACAGACCTGACTGCCTCCCACCTGTCTTCAGGTACTTGGAACCATGTGGTAGAAGGGGTGGACCCCAGGCCTCCCATATGCAGAGCTGTGCTTGGCCCCTTGAGCCTCTTGGCACCAGAAGCCTTAGTTTCTGTCTGCCCCATTATGTTAGCAGGGTGGCAGTCTCAGCATCTGCATGGTGGGTTGCCTTTATCCTCACTCTCGTGCCATTGTGGGGCGGCTCTGGTTCCTCTCATTGGGGAGTCGAGCCCTGAAGCAGCTCCACCTCCCCCTGGCAGCCCCCAGAGCCCCCAGCGACCTCTTTTCCCCGCCAGCCTCCCACCAAACCTTGTTCTCTCTCCCAGCCTGGGATGCACTTCTTGTGTGCATGTGGAGCAACACCATTTTGGGACCGCAGGGTTTGCGTCATCCCCTGGGGCTGGTGGGAGCTGGGCGGGGGGCTGGAGTGAGCCATTCCTGATGCCACTCTGCAGGTGAACCCAAACACCGGCTACATCGACTACGACCAGCTGGAGCAGAACGCCCGCCTCTTCCACCCAAAACTGATCATCGCAGGTGATGACCCCGGGCCTCCTGTGACATGTGTTCCTCTGCCCTGTCATACTCCGTTTCTGCCCCAGATTGCTGAGCTGTGGGGTCTAAGTACGATCAAACATCCGTGTTTGCTGCCAGGCGGAGTAAGCTGCAGGGCTTACTCCTAAGGCTGGAGGTGTGAGTGGGGGCAGGTCGACACGGCAGCCTCTAATCCAAGGATGTTTGTGGGGACGTCTGTTATCGCGTGGAGGAAGCTGGACGCAGGCTTGCTCTGGGCTCTGCATCCCCAGGGGACCCATTGTGGGCGGGTGTTGTGGCCGACTCCTCCTTGGCTCTGGACATTTCCCCCTGATTGTGTTTCCTACTGCCTTAGGTACCAGCTGCTATTCCCGGAACCTGGACTACGCGCGGCTGCGGAAGATCGCAGATGAGAATGGGGCTTATCTCATGGCCGACATGGCTCACATCAGTGGGCTGGTAGCGGCTGGCGTGGTGCCCTCACCCTTTGAACACTGCCATGTGGTGTCCACCACCACCCACAAAACTCTGAGAGGCTGCCGTGCCGGCATGGTCTTCTACAGGAGAGGTTAGATTCCAGGGGCCCTGTCTGGCCTCTTTCTCCTTTGCTGGGTCACTTACATTTTAGGGAGCTGAAAAACACTGACCTGGGATCCTTTAAAGAAATTCAGGTTATTTTGAGAGCTGCTTAGGAGAGGGCAGAGACAAGTTTTCTTGAAGACTCTGGATGGAGCCGGGAGAGATATTACAGGGTTAAGGTGCTGGCCGTGCATGCTGCCAACCCCAGTGTGATCCCTGGCACCACAGTGATCCCCTGAGCACTGCTGGGTGTAGATTCAAACAAAAACAAGAATCAAAAAAAAAAAGTACTCTAGAAGGATGCCCTGGCTCTGCGTTCTTGTCTCATTGCCTGACCCTCCAGGTCCTGAGAAAGGAGGAGGTATTGGTGGGGGTTGGCATTCCTAGCTCAGCCCCCCACATGCAGCAGGAGTTATCTTGTAAGACTGCTCTTTTAGTTTGGGGAGGAAACATGGGCAGTCTTGGTTCAGATCTTGGCTTTTCTTCCATTTTGTCTATGAAAAGTTGCTTTGACCTCAGTTGGAAGCCCTCTGCTCCTTACATTCCTGACCAGGTCTGCCCCCAGGCCCAGGGCTCCGGCTGTGGTTCGTGCGCGGTAGCCAGTATGGGTTTGAGTCAGCCTGTCCGGTTTCCATTCCCGTCTTCCCTTCTTCCAGGCGTGCGCAGTGTGGATCCTAAGACCGGCAAAGAGATTCTATACAACCTCGAGTCCCTAATCAACTCTGCTGTGTTCCCAGGCCTGCAGGGAGGGCCCCACAACCATGCCATTGCTGGTGAGATGTAGAGCCTTAGGGGTGGAGACCTACCAACCTCCAGGGTGCCCTGTGAACTTCCGGTTGGCTCATCCAGTGACCACTAGTTCCCATCCTCCCTGTCCACCTCCCCTCTGCCCTGTGCCAGAGGCTCCAAAGAGGGTATGAGTCCAGGAGATGCTGACAGAAGAAAAGGGATGCGGTAGGTGAGGGTGAACCCAGGCTTGCCTTGAACCAGGCCAGGCTCTGTGTGCAGCCTTTGATGAGGAGCAGCAAGGGTGCCGGAGTGATAGTTCAGGGTTAAGGCACATGCTGCTGCATGCTGCTGACCCTGGTTCTATTCCACATGGTCCCCTGAGTATCACCATGGACAGCCCTGGAGCCCTTATGTCCTAATCCAGTTGGCTTGAGTCTTCCCGGCACCATGGGACTGCATCAGTGCAAGGGTGCAGTGCCATGTCCTTGGTCCCTTGCATTGAACTATCAGCCCCACTTGCTGAGAATCACTGGAGCGAACATTACTTGGGAGGCCAAAGAAAACAAAGAAATAGCAAGGGGTGGAGTGAGGGGCGAGAAAGAGAGACCACCTTTACTTTCATTCTTTAGCATATTGTTATAATTGTTGTTTGATCATTATTGTGGTTAATCTCTTACCATGCCTGATTTACAGTGGATATTTATCATGGGTGTGGGCATATATAAAAGCACATCATGTCTCCAGGGCTCCATGCTATTTGCACATTCAGGCAATAACTAGGGGGCCTGGGATGTGTCCCCCAATTAGGAGGATGCTGCTGTACCATTTGGGGGGATGTAATTCTCTCCATGAATGACATTGAAGAGCGTGGAACCTGAGTGGGAACAGGGGGTGTGTTTGGGCCCCGACTCTCTTCTCATCCCCTTGCACCTGCTTGTCTGCCCAGGGATCGCTGTGGCCCTGAAGCAAGCCCTGACGCCAGAGTTCACACTGTATCAGCGCCAGGTGGTGGCCAACTGCAGGGCCCTGGCTGCCACCCTGATGGGGCTGGGCTACCAGGTTGTGACAGGTATGACCCGAGGGGCGTGCCGCGCCTGCTCCTTCCCTGTGATTTCCTGAGCCCCGACCCTCAGTTCTTCCCGTGGGTGGGGTAGGGGATGGCCCTGGGAGGCCACTGCCAATGTGATTGGTGTGTCCCTATCAGCTCCTTCCCCGTGCACTCCTGAGGCCAGCTGCCTCCCGCTCTGACTCCCCTTGACCAGTGTGGGGAGCGTTAGGGGGGTTGGGGGTGCCGACTTTCATGGTGGAGCCCAAATCCCTCTAGAACTTTGTTGTTCTACGACCAGAAGCCCCACCAAGACACACACACAGTTGGGTGGCAAGAGTTTCCTAGTGTTGTATATGAATTACCGTGTTAACACAGAGATAGGATGTTACGACGTGAATTATGAGAAGGAAAAAGTGCATTGACAGTGCTGTTTCATGTTCCCCAATACCTCGCCTGTGCCGTCTGTTGGCGGGGAGACCCACTGTGTGTAAATGTGCTCCTGCAGTTGAAGCCCATGTTGCCCAAGGGTCATCTATAGCAATTGCCTCCTGTCACGTGAGACCCTACATCCTCAGAGCAGCTTCTGGAGGCCCACCTCAGTGGAGGTGGCTACCTACCGGGGAGGGATTTTGCTTTGCATGAAGCCAACCTAGGTTCAATCCCCAGTACCCCATATGGTCTTTGGGGCCCTGCCAGGAGTGATCTCTGGGCACAGAGCCAGGAGTGAGCCCTGAGCACTGCCAGAAACAACAAAAGCTAGAGGCAGACTGAACCCAAGTAAGGGGGACTTTGTAGGTGAGGACCCCGCTCTGGGGTGCTTTCTCCCTCTGTCTGGGCGGGATCCTTGTCCTATACACTCGGGTGCCCTCACCCTGCCTCCTTCCAGGGATCACAGGCCTTGGCTGAGGTATGGGTAGCCCGCATGTGGTGCTGCGCAGTGTTACGGGGTCCTGAGTGCTGCTCTCTGCTCAGCTGCTTGTCACCTCCGTCCTCTGCATGTTGTCAGGCGAGGATGGACTTGGTGGAAGAGCCGCACCTGCCTTGTGCATCCCAGTTTGTTTCCTTTCGGTGCTTGGAAAGCAAAGGCCCTAGGAACCCAGATCTGGACAATGAGCTCCGACACCCTGTGAAAGTGTAGTTTCTGACCCAGTCAATCTGAGTGGGGCCTGTGTTTCTTGTCTGTTCCCAGGGAACAAAGTCTGGGAGCCTAATATGGAGTCCCAGAGGTGTGGCTGAATGCCCTCTCTATAGAGGTGTTGAGCCCCCAAGCAGTGAAGCTGCCTCCTGAGTGCCTCCCATCTCCTGGGGCTCTGGGCCTGCCTCACCCCAGTCACTCGAGCAGGTGATGGTCGGTGATGGAGAGCCACCCCCACATTTGTGGATGTCTGCAGTACCATTATGAATGTGATGGGTCTCCTGGATTTACAGATGGGCAGCTGAGACTCCCCAGTGTTGCACTGCCTGACCCCCAGGGACAGTGAAGGGGCCATGACTTCAGCTCTCCGCAGTGGGGCCCCAGGGCTAAGCATGGACCTGAGTCACCTGCATCTCTAAAGTCACTGCCAGTGCCCAGGTCAAGTACTTGAGATTGATAAAAGTTCAAAGTGGAGTGCTTTATGTGCATGAAAGACTCATTGGTAATCCTGTTCCAGTTCCAGAAAGTTCTTGTAGGCTCTGTATCCTCATCTGTACCACTTTGATAATGCTACCAATCTCACTGGACTGGGGATAAAACACATGTTGATACCATAGTGTCTGCCATCCAGCTTTTGAACTTACAAACATAACAGTAAACCACTTTCTGGAGGCCAGAGAGTACAGAGACTAAAGTGCTTGCCTTTCATGTGGCTGACCTACATTTGATCCCTGGCACCCCATGTGGTCCCTTGAGCACCTTCAGGGTTGATTCCTGATCACCACTAGGTGTAGCCCCAAGACAAAACAATTGAACCACTTACGATACTCTCTGATGCCTCAGTGGGAGCCTTGAAGATTGGTTTCAGACATGTGGAAAATTCCCAGGATATAAGAGTAGACAGCAATTATAATGGCTATGAACAAGCTGTCACCGTTGCAGTGGATTGTGGGAGTAGAAAGTCTGGGATACAGAAGCTGTTGGTCATATTCTCCTCTGTGTCTTCAGGACTTTTGGGGATACTCTGCCCTGGGCCCAGAGGTGTAGAGCATTTGCTCTGCATGTGAGAGGCCCTGTGTTTGATCCCTGATACCGCCCTCACTGCTGACATGATCCTCAGTGCCACAAGAGCAACTTGGCATACTGGAGCCAAGTGTGTGATAAACAGTCACAACTCTCATCAGTTAAAAATTCCGTGGGTCAGAGAGATAGTACAAGTGGGTAAGGCGCTTGCCTTGCATACAGCCTGTGTGGGTTCAGTCCCGAGCGTCCCATATAGTTCCCTGAGCAGCACCAGGAATGATTCTGAGTGCAGAGCCTGGAGTAATCCTTGAGCATTAACAAGTGTTGTCCAAAAACAAAAAGCAAAACAAAATAAAATTTTGCACTTTCTTGAACTCTTAGGCCCTGGGCTTGTAGGGAGGTGGGGGGCGGGGGGCAGGGGGCAGGGTTGAAAGCTTTGGGGATGCTGGTAGGGTGCTGCTTTGCCCAACCTCAGCTGCTCCAGCCCTTTGGCTTTGTATTTTGGGTGATGTTTCTTCACTGGGATGGAATCAGTGTTCTCCATTCCTACATGTCCAACTTTATCTCCAGGTGGTTCTGATAACCATTTGATCCTTGTGGATCTCCGTTCCAAAGGCACAGATGGTGGAAGGGCTGAGAAGGTGCTAGAAGCCTGTTCAATTGCCTGCAACAAGAACACCTGCCCCGGTGAGATTCCTCCTTGGTCTTCTCTTCCATAACTCTTGTTGACAATTTGGCTGCAGGGAAAGGCATTAGACACATTGGGGAATAGATGGAGCATCGAGTGGGGAACTAATTAGCAACTCTTTCCGACTATGCCATCTGACACAGCTCTAACATGCCAGGGACAAGGAGGACCCAAGCAGATGCTGGAGGTGGTGTAAGCATTTACACTAGGGACCTTTGGAAAACAAGCTAAATTTCTCTGTGGGCTGTCGCTGGGCTGGGAGTGGGGTTGGGGGTGGGGGTGCAGTGCAGCTCAAATCCAGACTAGGTACTTGCTAGCTTCACTTTAGGAGCAAGGGACATGCTACGGCAGATTGTCTGACTGCTTAGAATAGAGCAACCAAGGACAGGATGTGGTTCAATTGGGAGAGCACAGGCCTGGAATATGGAGGGCCCTGGATTTGACCCCCTGGAAAGCCCCTGAACACCAGCGGGTTGAGTTGGGTGGCATCCATGCACCACCATGAGCGTACAAGAATAAATAAGCTGATAAGAGCAGCTGGAATGTGCTGCCCCCTCCGGTGCTGAGAGCAGTTGTGCTCTCCTGGATACATCCAGGCCGGTCCTGTTGCCAAAGTGTCACTTTAGAATTTTTTTAAGTTAAGTTTTATTTGGGGAGTTGAGAGGTGCGAGTCCTCCCAGTCTTCACTGAGGGTTCCAGGGGGCTACATGCCGAACAGTCCAAAGCCAGAACTGACATTCAGATGCTGAGGGTCAGCAGAACCACCTGGTAGTATTTGGGGGTCACCAGGACCCCACCCTGTGGTTCTGGTGTGAGGAATGGCGGGGAGAGGGGGACTTGCCATGCTAGAGATTAAATTCAGCTCTTGCTTATGCAGGGCAGGTGCATCCTAGCATCCCCAACTGTCCCTTTTTAAATGCATACTTGTGGCCAAGGAACATAAGCCTCTTTATCTTGTAGGTGACAAAAGTGCACTGCGGCCTAGTGGATTGCGGCTAGGAACGCCAGCACTGACATCCCGAGGACTTCTAGAGAAAGAGTTCCAGGAGGTGGCACACTTTATTCACAGAGGTAAGGCTGAAGACCCTGAGCCGGCCTGTGCTGAGCAGTGGCTGGGAGCCGGTGACTGAAGGGCATGTTTGTTGGGGCTGAGACTGTAAGAATCCCTTCCAGCAGACCATCCTGAGGACTGTCCACAGTTCTACAAGGGCAGGGTATCCCCAAGTCATTTTTTTAATTTTCAGCCAGTGGAAGGGATGGGGGAGACACAGCTGGCAATGCTAGGGGGTTACTCCTGGCTCTGTGCTCATGAATTCACTTCTGGGGGTCCTTAAGGGACCATATGGGATATTGGGGATTGAACCCGGGTCAGCCACATGCAAGTCAAGGCAAGTGCCCTACCAGCTGTATTGTCTCTCCTGCCCCCAAAGTCACTCCTAAGAGGTGCATTAATACCTATTGTTGCTATGGCCCAGCTGGGGCTTAGGGGAGCTGGGGTGTTCTGTGGACTGAGGGCCCTATCTTCTCGTACACACAGGGATAGGACTGACTCTGCAGATTCAGAATGACATGGGTGCAAAGGCCACCCTGAAGGAGTTCAAGGAGAAACTTGAAAGTGACGAGAAGCACCAGAGGGCTGTCAGGATTCTGAGGGAGGAGGTAGAGAGCTTTGCCTCTCGCTTTCCTCTGCCTGGCGTGCCTGACTTCTAAAAGAGCCGGGGGCTCCCCCACCCTAGTGCCACTTGGTCAATAACTGCCCAAAGTTGCTTAAGGCCAGAGGGGCACCAGTCAGTTTCTTTATGCCCTGAAGTGGAGGGGAAGGGTTTTGAAATTTTCTTTTTTCCCACAAACCAAAGTTCAAGGTTCTACTGAAATCTGCCAACAAATTATTCAAATCTGAACCTGCCTCACACCTATAATTGTTCTGGAAAAACCAATTATTGCACAGCCTTCACTCATGCAGACAGTGGTGTAAGGCCGAGCCCCTAGAAAGGCCCCAGCAGCTATGTGCACCCTTAAAGTTCCTGGGCATCCCTGGCCCACTGCAGCAGTGCCCAGCTTGAGAGAGCACGCCACTCTTAGTTATCCTGGTGCCAGAGACTTACCAAAGACTCACTGAGGACCGTTAGGATGGAGGAGGGAGTTTTTTGCACCTGGGAGCTCTGTGCTGTAAATGGGAATTAGGAGTTGGATTGTGTCAAGTACCACCTAGCGGGAGTGTGGGTGTAGAAGCAGCCTCTTTCATCCTTCCATGGAGCGAACAGGGCTGAGGGCCTCCGAGACCATCACTGCAGACAAGTGTGTGCTTGGAGGCCCTGCGGGAGAGGGAACCCATGCCCTCCGCCAGTCAGGAAACCAAATGTACCTTCCCGAAGAAACTTTATTTTTCACAAAGCTAAAGTGCAAAACATAGATGACCATTTTTTAATCAGCACAATCAAGTCTTTAACCACAGAATGTCTACAAGAATTATAGCTTTAAAAAATACAACCAGTTTTTATATTTCAAAAATATCTGAACTCAAATAAATTAATTTCATAAAAAGTACACTTCTACTACGTGTTTGGCCTTTACTCTAGAGGAACGCTTGTGCAGCTCCATCTGGGAGCTGGTCACGTGGTGTCTCTTCATACCCCTGCCCTTGGCCACTGTGATTGCAGCACGCATGGTGGGTGGACTCACTGTTCACAAACAAGAACAGGGGAACATGCAATAATATAGTAGCTTTTCCAAAAGTAACCAATGCAAAATCCTCACACCTTGTTTCACTGTGACTTCAGCTCACACTCCACAGGCAGCTTAGCCAGGGTTGCAGCGAGAACTTAGGGCACTGCGTGTTGCTGGCATTCACCATTTCGGGTGGGGAGTAGGCGATGCACAGGGCTGTCTCTGCCTTCAGCTGTAGGGCTCTTAAGGGTTAACTCATGGCAAAGCATCTGCTTTATTGCCTCAGTTCCTGCTCCTTCCTGCCCCGGTCCATAACACACCTTCATGGATGAAGCCAGATTAGGTCAGTTTTCAAAGGTGAAAAGGCTTGAGGACCCAAACCTTTCCTTACCAGATGAGAATGTTTTGTTTTCAACTTAAGTTGAAAGTCAGTGCTTTTTTCCCTTTTGTGACTTAATATACCTCATCTCTCTCTTGAAGACTCCAGTTTTATCACTTTCAATCACAGTATTGGTGGAGAAAACCAAGAAGCTGACTGGGGGGCTTTAAAGCACATGCCAAGTCCCTTTCTGCTGGCACAAGGGACAGTTCTGCAGGCCATCCCCACAACCGGTGGGTTCCCAGCGGCAGAAGTTGGCCTGCCATGCAAGTAGGTTGGAGGTGGGGGCATGCATTGGGCACTGGCCGAAGTGGTGGTCACCAAGCATGCAAGCTCCTCCAGACCAGAGTGACGTCTAGCAAGTCTCGGAGCTAGAGCCTGTGGGCCTTCCGAGGATTCTGAAAAAGGGTTTGCTAATGGGGGTGGAAATCACCTTGACTCTGGGCATAGCAACTAGTGTGGGAAAAGTTAAAAGCTGGATGAGAAAGGAGAGGGGAGCTGGCAGGGCCCATTTTCAAATTCTGGTGCAATGTTGGAACTTCAGCCATTAGGGAAGTTAAGAAACATCAGTTTCTGAAATGCAAAGATTCCATTCAAGTGAGGAGGCAGTGAGTTGGCAGCTCAGGAAGTGTCCCAACGGCCAGGGTGCTCAAAAAGCATTGAGTTCTAAACTCAAGCTTCTGGAAATCATTACCACATGATTTCTAGCCTGATCATTTTCCTTACTCTAGACTATTTCTTTAAAAGGGGTGAGGGTGTGGAATGGTGATTAGAGATTAAAACCAGCCTCCCAAATTCAGTGCCTGGGCCTTCAAAGTTAGTCAGGAGTGAACCTGAGGACAGATGGCCTATTTTTTGGGAAGTGTTTTAAATGCTTTATAAAAACTTGCAGGTGTATTTCTAGAGGAAAAGTTCCAATGGCTGAAGAGGTTAGTCCCAGTGGATGAGAGCACCCCACCTGTAAGATTCATAAAGACTTCTAACAGATTCTAGCTCTCTGCTGTGGAGGTGCAGCTTCATGCACTCCTGCCTCTGCCCTTCCCTGTGGTACTACCATCACTCAAATCCACTGGAAAACAAACATACTTGGTACTAAACAAACATGTGAAACCGTCACATTGAAAAGTTAGAATTTAAAATTTGAATCCTGGGGTCCGATCACTAGTCAGTGAAGCCAACTTAGTGAAGAAACAACTTCAGTGAGATGCTCATTTTTGCTTTTGTGGCTACGCCCTGGACCCAGCTGTCTGTCCTCACTGGACCTTTAAAGTCCTCAGGGCCTTTGGAATCATCCTCGGTGGGGCTTCCAAGAAAACACACTCCAAAGTGGATTTTTACTTCAGACCACTGTAGTGCATGGTTCTAATTTCTAGAAGGCCAAGTATGGCTCACCTCCTGTTCACATCAATTTCCCAGGTGAGAACAGAGTTAACAGTGAAGTTCACAGTAATGGGAAACACAGAACCAAAAAAATAGCACTGGTGGTGCCAACAGTCACTTTTCACCTTGTCATTTTACTCCACAGGATTTTCCTTCCTTGGAGATACAAATGTCACAAGATCATGTCCTAGACGCCTAAGTAGACAGCAGTCAGCCATCCAGTTAGCAAGCACAGCAGCATGGAGAACATGGGGAAAGGGTAGTAAGAGACAGGAGGCGGAGGGCAGGGAAGTGGGATTCCTATGCAGTCTTCATGTTTAAGCACCGCCAAGGTGTTCCTAGTGACTTCTGTGTGCAAACCGATGTAACAGGCATAGTACAAAGAAAATTGATGACACTTAGCAGTATCTGCCACAAAGGGAACTGAGTCACAGCCTCTGCAAAACCATAGCCCCTCTGACAGGATTGGGGGCCCCAATCCACAAGCTGCCAGCACCCCACCCGCTGCTGGGGACTAGGATGCATGCTGGACTAGAGCAGTGACGTGCCATTGGAGGCCTCTGCCTCTCAGATCTGTGACCTCATTGGTGTGCCACAAGGCTGACAAGCCCAGGGGGTCAAGCGCAGGGAACACAATGCCCAGAGATGCTCACGTGTGTGCTTGGGGTAAACCACTTGTGGCTGGTTCGGGTTTTTATTTTTTTTAAAGTCACAATTTTCTGGGAATAAATTAAGAGGCAGTACTACCAAGAGTTCTCCCTACTTAAGGAAGTAAGAGCTTTTGAGGGAAAAAAAAATATATATATAAAATGTTCCAAGTTGCAAGAAACCCTCCCCCTCCGTATCAGCTGCAGTCCTGGAAGGCGTGTCCAGGGAAGCGGTGACTGGAAGGGAAGACTCAAAGCAGGTAGCAGGGAGCAGTGGTGAGGGATGCACTAGTACCTCAGAGGGGCCTCGCATGGGTGGAAGCTAGGATGAGGGGCACACCCGTTAGGCCTGCACAGCCTCCTGGAGACAGGTCCAGTCAGCAGAGGCCTCCTTCCAGAGAAAATCCTGCCATGAGCGATCACAAGCTGGGCTGCCCACAAGACCCTGTGCGAGGTAGTGACATGGTTGTATGTTTGCTATGGGTGGGGAAGGGCGTGATGGCTCCTAGTTCCAACATGTCTGCAACCTTCCAAGGACGCCGGTGCTTCTGTGAGTACTCAAAGGTTCCCCATGATGTACAGAGGCGGTGGCTCTGGACAAAGACCATCTCCTGCCCTATGCCCCAGGCTCTGCGCTTCCCAGACGGGTCTCACTGCCAGGCACCAGGATGTTCCGGTCCCTCCTGCTGGCCCCGGGGAGCACTCCCAAGGCACACCAGCATTCAGTGCCTGGGGAGGAAGTGAGCCCAGGGACAGGCACTGCCTGCTCTCCACAGTGTGGGGCCCAGAAGGCTGTTCCTTTCCCCCACCCACTGGGGGCTGAGCCAGTTTCCTCTCACTGTCCGGGGCCTCCCCGGAGATGATGGGTTCTGGGAGGCAAGAAGGGGTCGGAACGAGCTAATATTCTCTTGCCTTGTTTTTTCATCAAATCATTCTAGTTGACAGGCTGCTTCTCTGGATTCTGCCACTCAAGTGGCTGGTATCGCTGAACAGGGCAGTGTGTTCCTCCCAGTCCAGGCTTCGCTTCTTGCCCCTTGTCCCACCCACTGAAGCTTTCTTTCATCCTGGCTTCCACAGCTCCGAAAACAAAGAGCTCCCTCCCCTCCTGGCACCGGGATCATGCCCCCCCCCGGGAGCTGAGAATGCTCTTCTGGCCACTTGAGATGCCCGCAGAAAGCACCAGGTTCTTGACAGCCCCCCTACCCCCAAGTCCTGGAGTCACCATGGTCTCCTTCCCCTTACACTAGGAGTCTACACAGTTCAGAGCACTACTTGGGCACACCACCCTCTCCCCTCCAAGTACCCTAAGTCACAGGTCTTGGTCAAATGGCTAGAACTGGCCTCAGATTTTGTACAAAAAGCTGGGAACATAGTCAAACCTGAGCGTGGGGTGGCTGATTCCGGGAGCCTCCTGCATATAGTACAGCTTCAGCAATTCAGCCAGGTACTGGACCACTTTGACGTCTTCATTCACCAGACCCAGGTTTAGCTTCAGGAAGCTCACTTGGCGGCTAGTGACCAGGTCCTCAGTCTCCTTGTCATGGGCAGGCAGGTGCAGGTGGTGGCAAAATGTGTAGAGGAAAGCCTTGGAGCAGAGCTGAGTGAGCATGCTCTGGACATGCAGGTAGTAGGTGCTGCCTCGCTTGATCTGGGTGCGGTGGTCTGCCAGTCGTGGCACTAGAGTGCCTCTGTAGAGCGGGCAGCGCAGGGTTTTGTTGTCCAGGTCCAGAATGCTCGTGTAGCGACTGTAGCGGCTCAGTGAGTGCAGCGTGCTGGCACTGGCAGGGGATGCCACTCTGAAACACATAGGCCACGGTCAGGAGGAAGGGCAAGCACGGGAAGATAGAGGCAGAAGCTCAGGGCTGGAATCCTGTTTCCAGGCCAGCACTCACTATCTCTACAGAGGCAGATCTGAGCACCTCACAACTGAGGAACAAGCTCAAGTGACCCACGAGCCCTTCACAACCTGCTTCCGGCTGGCTTTAAAAATAGGACCTGCGGAGTAGGGCTCTTGCTATGCAAGCAAGCCGACCTGTGTTCAATCTCTGGTACTCCATATGATCCCCTGAGCCCCTCAAGGAGTGATTCCTGGATGCACAGCCAGGTGTGACCCCCCAAAAAAAAACCAACAAAAATATACAGGCTGCAGGCCAGAGAGCACAGAGCCAGAGCAGGATGGTCAAGGTCCCCAACCCCCCACCCCCGCCAAAAAAAAAAGCTGGGCCAGAGAACACACAAACATAATAATGGTTAAAACATTTGCTAAGTGCACCCATGATCCCAGTGTAAACCCTGTGCTGCATATGGTCCCCTGTTCACTGCCAGAAGTGATCTCTGAGCACAAAGCCACAAGTATGCCTTGAACACCACAAGACGTAGCCCAAAAATCAAAACCAGCTTATTGGCTTTGCCTGGAAGGCCTCCCATCCTTTTCATTACTGAATCACGCCAGTGTAATACCTACTCAGCCTTCCCTCAGCCTCTCAGATTTTTGTTGGTCAGGTTCCTTAACTTCCCTGAGCCTCATCGGTAGGTAAGCCAGAGATAATAACTCCTGATTCGCAGACCTCAGAAGAGTGGCTGGCACTGAGTCACCAGACACAGAGTTTCTGCAGTCAGGCCTGTATGTGACTGGCCTCCTGCCCAATGCCCAGTATTGTGCTGGCGTCTCAGGCAGGCAGGCAGGTAGGTTGTGAAGGGAGGAGTCCAGAGAAGCAGGCAAAACTTAGCAGAGTTCTACCTTTCCTCCAGTGGAGTTTTCCAGAGCAGTCTTCCAGAAGCTGGCAAATGACTGCCTGACCAGATTTCACAAACTGATCTCCCCTGGAGTTCAGGGCTGGAGAGGCTGAAGGGAATGTGTAAAGGAGGGAAAACACTTGGGGCCAAGGGCATCTCGGGCTATTTCTGTCATTCTGGATGCTGTTATATTCCTGCATAGTTACCAGCTTAGGAGCTAGCAGGCAAGGAAGTGGGAGCTGAGCCACGAAGAGAATAAGCCTGGCTGGTTGGGTGCAGAAGCCAAAGCTTCGAAGCCTCACCCTTTGCCCACAACCCAAGGCATTTCCAAAGGCCGGGCATGGCTTCCTGTATGGCCCAGAGCTCCACAAGGTGGCTACTGCAGTCCCTGCCACGCTAGGTTTAACCAGCCTCTGTGATGGAGCCAGAGGCATGGCTGGTGGAAAAGCAGAGCTGAGCGCCACTGCCACCAGCCACCAGCCTCACTCCTTGGGCTCATCTCATTAAGCTGCACCTGCGGCCAACCTCTGGAACTCTCTGGGAGAGCTGCAGCCAATCCACTCCCGCTGCACAGCTGGCTCCAGCTGACCCCTCAACAGCTGGCACAGTCCTAAGGCAACAAGGCCTCTAGCCCTGCCTACTAGACTCAGGCCTGAGCAGAACCTCCAGGAGACAGATGCTGCCAATGCCGAATATCCGTGTCCATCACACATACACTCAAATTTGAGAGCAAGTGCTGACACTTCTCCACTTGGGCTTCTTTATTTGGGGTGGGGGATTGGAGCCAATCAGGGGCTACTCCTGATTCCCTCCAGAATTTGGGGACTGGGACGATGTGGGGCTGGGGATCAAAACCATGCACACACTCCAGCCCCTTGAATTGGCTTCACAGCCTGGGATTCTTGAGAAGAGGTCTGAACTTTGGCGTCTCACAAGTATCCAGCTTTCATGAGCTTTCGTGGGCAATACACACAAGCACCTAAATCTGATCAGCAGAGGGCCACAGCCAGCCTGCCACCCGGGCCTGTCTGGAACATCAGGGTCCCTACTAGGACACAGCACTTAGGCGTGTATCAGGTAAGACGGGCCCTCTGACATCTGCTCCAACAAGGCAGATCTCATCAGATTTGTCTGAGGAAAACAGCCTTGGTCAGGTAGACTGAGAGTGGCGAGGGCTGGGGTGATGGCTAGCCACAAGGGCCACATCCACCCATCAGGGAGCATATCATGGTGATTCGCCTTTTAATGCTGGCACAGGGCCTGGTGGCTGGCATTTAACGGTCCTGAATAAATTTGTGGCAAATGACCACTCAGAGATCCCACTGATTCTTCTCAGAAGGGAACTAAGTCTGCGTAGTGACTTGTCCACGGCCACTGGAGAGGGTGAGCGCCAGTGGTTCAGCCCAGGTCAACCACTCCCACTCCAAGTGTCATGCCCACTCTCCCGCAGCTAGCTGGCTCCCCTTTCCCACACTCAGAAAAATTATTCATTGATCACAATAGTCTTTTCAAGAAAAGTCATTCATCGATTGCAACAGTCTTTCCATAACAGTCCGTAGAGAATCCTGTTTGGGGGCCACTCCAGCAGTGTGTGGGGGACCATGCAGTGCCAGGGAGGAAACCTCCGATCCACCTGCCCCACCCCTCAGAATGCTTTTCCATGCAGGACTCCAGTCAATTGCCCAGTAGGGTGGGACTGGCTTAAGAAATGAATCTCTGGCTATTCTGGTACATTCTAAGGAGGGACATTTGGAGAAAGCACCATCCAGAGCTAGGCAGTGGATAAACTTGCTGATGCTGATAGACAGTTGTGATTTAGACTCTACCTTTTAAAGCTAAAAAAATAAATAAAAAGGCAAAAGTCAGTAGCCAAAGCAATAGTATAGCAGGTAGGACATTTGCTTTGCATGTAGCCAACCCGAGTTCAATCCCTGGCACCCCATATGGTCCCCCAACCAAGTACCACCAGAAGTAATTCCCAAGAGCAGAGCTAGGGAGGTAGAACTAACTCCAAGGCATCGCTGGGTGTGGCCCAAAATTAGAAAAAAAGTCAAGAGGCCAAGTGTGTATGAAAGCTGTATATGTATAAGTGATTACAACCCATCATTAAGGAACTAAAAACCATTCCTTGGAGGCTCTTCCCTCTGCTTACCCTCTTAGGTAAGCCCAATAGCAGACATGTGGCATGGCAAAGGGAGTGTAGCCTGCAGGGAGGAAGCAGCAGTGCTGTCCCTCCCATCCATACCACAGGTTTCCAAAAAAGACCTAGGCTGGTCCAGGTGTCACACTTCAGGCACAGTACACTGAGTCCCAGGTCGTCACTCTTTCTCCCACACTGGCAGCCTCAACCTCCCTGTCCCTGAAGTCAAAGACCCCGGACCTCCTTCAAGCACCTGTGTCCCTCACTTCTGAGGCATCACCACAATGTTCCCTTTGTTTTATTATTATTATTGGTTATCTGGGGGGAGCACACCCAGCTGGCTGTGCTCAGGGCTTATTCCTGGATCTGAGCTCAGAGATCACTCCTGGTAGTGCCAGGGACTGAACCCAGTTCGGCTGCGTGCAAACCCTAACCGATGTACTATTGCTCTTGCCCTTGTTTTATTTTTTATTTTGTTTTGGATTTGGGGGCCACACCTGATGGTGCTCAGGATTTACTCTTGACTCTGTACTCAGGGATCACTACTGGTAGAGCTCAGGGAAACATGGGGTACCAGGGACTGAACTAAGGCAAGCATCTGACTTCCTGTACTGTTTATTTAGAACAAGCAAAAACTGGAACTCTGCTCTCCCTTCGAGGCAAGGCTCTCTCTGGTCACCTGTTTATGCCCTTAGGACTAATGTTTTTCTTCCAGAGCAACAGTCTTGCTCAGGCACTGTCACAACATGGAGTAGATGCTCAATAAGAGCATGACCTGGCAGGGTTTGGCTCCCACCTGGAGAAAGGCTGGTCCAAGGGCTATCAGAGGGGCAAATGCAAACAGATGCCACTGTTCAGTGAAAACAACACCTGTTTTACAGATAAGCAAAGTGGGCTGCAGAGAAGGAAATGATAAAAAATGGAATGAGTCCCAACACTTGCCAAGCAGTATTTGAGAGGAGAGAGGAAGAGCTACTAAAATACAAATAACTGGGGGAAATACAACAGAAACTGTTCAAAGAGAAGTTGAAGCGGTCTCTCACATTTCCTTACCAAGGGCCTTCTCCAGTAAAGAGGGCAGTGAGTGGAAACCATCAAAATTCTCTGTGGTTCTCTGATTACGCCCATCTTTTCGCAGGAGCAGACCTCTCCTCAGTTATTTAAACAACAGGATTCATTTGAAATCAGCACAAACTCAACTTGAGTTGTGTCCAAACCTCACAGCACACAAGGTAAATTCCATATCTTACCCCACACCAAGTGAGAGTCCTGGGGTGCGGGGTGGGATGGCAGGAACCTGTGATTTGATAAGTCCTGCCAATAACTCTGACCCAGCTAGGTGCAAACCAGCGCTGGCGACCACTTAGGAACTGCAATTCCTGCATGTCGTGAACAAGGAAGCGGTAAGTTAGGTAAAATGACTTGCTAAACAATACTGTGAATGAGTGTAGGGCCCAGTCTAGAAGTGAGACCTCCCAGCTCTGGGCCCAAATCTACACTGGCTGACATAGGGTGACCAAACAACCACACAAACTTGTTAACCTTATCCTCAGTGAAAGAGGTTAAAAGCTTCCTTTTGTAACTGAACAGGGTCCTTTCCCACCACCCGGAGCCTTACCTCTGCAGGCCAATAAGCTTCCACTTCTGGAAATCTGTAATGTGCAAAGGAGAGGACACCCAGTGCTTCACAGGTTTGGCACAGCGGCTGTAGTTGGGAACAAAGATGGACAGCGCCGACACGAGCTTCCTGACTATGGTTTCATCTTCCCCCAGGACCACAAGTGTCCTCCCGCTGAGTAGGGAGTAGATGGCTGGGTGGGCAAATGGGTACTGGCGGATAAATTTTAAGGCATTCTGGCCAGCTCTCTTTTTATGTCTCTCGGAAGAGGGAGCAGTGAAATGAGCAGCGGGAGTCCTGTCTGAGCCAGTGGAGGCTATGCTGCCCACACAGCTGGTGGAGTCAGAGTAGTTGTCCAGGCTGGTCTTACTAACATCCCGGCTAGCCAGCAGATGGCTCGGGTCCAGCTCATAAGCCGTGAAGCCCTCAGAAGTGTGGTCTTGAGAAGGGCTGGCGTTTTCCATGGCCAAGTCTGTGTGGAAGCCCTGGTCCTTTTGCCAGTAGCGCTGTGGGGGGATGCTCACCACTCCGTCCTCATCTAAGAGCGCGTGGGCTGCAGCAGGAAGTGGCCCCTGAAGACTGTCACTCTCCTTCCCAATGCAGCAGGAAGAGTCCATCTCTGACAGGGGATTTTCCAAGCTGCCCTCCTCTGCACCATCCAGCTCCGGAGGGCTGATGTTTGCCTGGAAGAGGATGGCTCCCTCGCTATCATCTGGATACGATTCTTCTTCATTAATGGCACTTGGGTAGCTGGCCTTAAGGTCCTCGGGGATGAGAGCCTCGGACGGGCAGGTGCTGAGGACTTCGATACTGTCCTCACTGATAGTTCTGTTGCTGACCGCCTTGCTGCGGACTACCTGGGGGCTCAATGGCACCGTGAGGCTGGCCTGGCTGTCAGACTTGGAGAGCACAGAGGTGGACTTTTCCGTGCCCAGAACCTCAATGCTTTCACCACTGCTGATACTCCCTTTCATCTCCATATCCAGGTAGTCCAAGTTCTCCTGGGGGTCAAAACTGCTCAATTCCGCCACCTCTGCTTCTTTGTACTCCTCATCTCCCAGTTCCTGCTCCATCTTGATCAGCACAGACTCCACACTGGACTTGTAAGAGCCAACACTAATTAACACTTGAGGAATTGGATATTCTTCCAGAGTCCTGGAAGGTGGTCTCTCTTGAACAGGCTTAGGGGCTGTACTCTCTTGTTTCTCTACCACCCTATCATCAACCTCCACAAAGTCCTCAAAGAGAAAGTTGGTTATGTGCTGTTGTTTTAACAGTGCCCTGTCAATCTGGCTGGTCAGGAGATAGCACAGGTCTCCGCGGAACATGTGCTCAATGTGGCTGAGCTGAGCCAAGGTCTGGGTGAAATATTCGGTGTCACAGAGCTCTTCCAAGGTCTTTAACTTTTTGTCAAAACACTTGGTGGACTTGGCTTTGATGAGTTTTGGGGTATAGGCTGGTCTGCAGGAGTAAAGGTCAGCGTCAGCAAACTCATCGGGGTTAGAGGTAGTGGCTGCCTGGCAGGCTTGATCCTGGGAGTGCTCTATCTCCCCAGAACACAAATCAGCCCCTTTCGACTTCCGATGAGGATATGAACGGATCTGCTTCAGCAGGTCTTGATGCTCGATGATGGATTTCTCTACGCTAGCCAGTTCGTTGGCTTTCTCAATTGCCTGAGATGAATAAAAACCTTTATCATTGGCTTTCTTCTGGATTTCTGTTTCAGTATGTAGCACAGTCCTGGTATAATCCAAGTCTTTCAGCTTTTTTTCAAGTTCCCCAGCAAATGCCTTCCTGTTGCCTGTCTTCAAGCACTCAGAAGCTTTGGAAAATTCTGCTGAAAGTTCCTGGAATTGCTGCATGATTTTGTGCTGGTCTGCTGAGATATAAGCCATGCAAAAGGGCCTCACGAAACCACGGGCCTCCAGGTCATACAGGGTCAGATGGTGCACGTAAGCAAAGGCTCCCTCCTTGGAGTCTCCCAGCACGACCTTGGAGTCCTCCACGAAGTTCAGCTTGGGGTAGGAAGAACCGGGGGGATGGCCCACGAAGGAGGCCTGGTAATCGACAGACATGATCCTTAAGGAGAAGTAATTAAGATCGAAGGTACCAAAAACTTTGGTATCATTGGGGATGGTTAGCAAGGGTTGGGGGCCCACCTGTTCGGAGAACTCGGAAATGAGGATGAAGTCCCGCGAGAACTTGGCTCCAGACAGTTTGGACCAAGGGTTGGCTCCTTGGCTGGCGAAGGGGAAAAGGGGCACCGAGTACTCCTCGGGCAGGGCCGGCTCATTGTAAGGCTCTTCCTCGTACTCATTCTCTTTGGTGAAGGCCACCACGTCAGGGGCGCTGATCATATTTCCAGGTATACGGAGAGAACATTGAGAGGAAGTGGCCAGGAATGCGGGGGTAATCGGCGCGGGGAAGCCAGACCTCTGGAGGAGGAAGCAAAGTCCCTGCGGTCTTCTTGGCGCCCTCGGGGGCGCTGGGCTGCTTTTCACGCACCCGAGGACTTGGACTCCCGCGGCCACTACAAAGGTGTAGCTCCTTCAGAGTCCTCGGAGGCCTCGGGAACTCTGCGGGCCTCGAGGTCCGGGAAGCCGGTTGTCCTCTTCCTCTTTTCTTTTTGGTGACCCGGTCGCCGCAAGGCACCTGCCGCGAGGTCACGGTCGCTTCCCCGAATCCAGCGCGATAGCAACAGCCCCAGTATCGAACGGGTGCCTGACGCAGGGCTACGGGCCGTAGCCGGGGCCAGCCAAGCCTTGTCGCCCTCACGGATCGAGGGCAAAACCGTCGCGGCTCCGCGGACGCCACAACCCGGAGCCAGCTAGCGCGGCGCCGCCATCTTGTTATCACATGACTAGCTGCATCGACGCCCCGTGACCCGGAAGCACCCTCGAGGACTTCCGCGGAGGAGGGAAACCGGATATGGGGAAAGGAGCTGGGGAAAGGCCTGGGCGGGACTATCGAGAGGCCTCTCCCAAGGACGAATGGCTTGCTCAAACACTTCCGGAAGAAAAAGACGTGGGGCAGGGAGCGAAAAACCGTGCGGAGACGAGAGGTCGTGGAGCGCGGGGCAGCCTGGGATTTGTAGTTCGTGATCCTGCGGGTCTCGCTCCGAGCGGAAGTGGCTGCGGAAGGCGGGCGGAAGACGCGCTTGCGAGGGGCGGGATCTTGTACCCCGGCGGCAGCTGTGGGACGGTGTTAGCTGTGGCCGGAGTGCCGGACCCCGTCTGGTGGCGGGCTCGGAACCCGGGCGTGGGCGGCGGCGCGGCGGCGCCTGGAGACTCTAGTCCCTTTAGGGTCGGCGACTGGCGAATCTCACCGCTGGCCTCCTCAGCATGCGCGGGCGCCCGGGGAGCGGCTGCTGGCCCGGGTCCTAGGCATGATCTTGGTGGCCCGCTGCGTGCTCCGGTGGCAGCGCCGGCCGGGATACCGGGCCTTGTCGCGCGCCGCCATGGAGGTGGCCTTCCGTGGCGTGCGCAGAATTCTCTGTGTCGCCGAGAAAAACGACGCGGCCAAGGGCATCGCCGACCTCCTGTCCGGCGGACGCATGCGGCGGGTGAGGCGCCTTCCCGCCTGCGCTCGGTCTCGGGGCGCTCGGCGCTTCCCCCTCGTACCTGTTTGTTCCTCTGTGCGCGGCAGCGAGCTGTCAGATCGTCAAGGCACTGGGGGTCCTTTTTGTTGACGTTTTCTCTCCCGAGTCTGAAACTTAACTCATGTAACTTGGAATTCGCGTCTTGACCGCTTCTGGTCGCAGACGGTCGCCCCGTGGGCAGCGCCCCGCTGAGCGGACAGGACAGTCTGAGCGCAGATGGCAGCGCAGGACCAGTGTCCAGCCACCCTGGCTCCTGCTTGTCCAAACCAATTTCTAGAGACAGCTGAAGGGATGAAAGTGTGCTCGAGGCACAAAGGGGAAGGGGAAGCAAGAAAGGTTTTCTAAGGCGGTGACCCAGAGCTGGAAAAATCTCAAGTAACAAAAGTGGATCCTGAAACGGTTTGCTGGACACCTTTTCTAAAAGCACAAGGTAGAGATTCCCTGCCCTAGTTTTTCTTGAAGACCCCAAGACCCCCTGGACTTTTTTAAATGTGTGGAACAGGAGCTGAGGGTGTCTTCACCTCTTTCCAGGGTTTTTATCCTGGTAACCAGACCCGGCGAACCTACTTCTGGGGCTCTGGACCGCCCAAGACTCTCCCTTCTGCACCTATTCCTTCCGTTTCAGGACTTCTAAAAATATCTCTTCAAGGATCCTTTGCTCCTCCACCTGGCTCAGGGACACTTTGTGATATGCTTCACTTGGAGGGCATCTGCCAGTTGCAGTTGAATAATGCTTTCCCATTTCTGTATGTCATTTGCTGTCACTCCATTCTCAGATGCTAAGGAAAGGGGCTCTGTGGTTCATTCTCATATCTCTAGTGCGTAATACAGTGTCAGAACATAGGAATCTCAGTAAGTTTAAGTTTTGGTGGCTTTTTTTTTTTTTGTCTTTCTGTTTTTGGGCCACAACAGCCGGTGCTCAGGGTTTTCTTGGCTCTGTGCTCAGGGATCACTCTCTGCCGTGCATAAGGGACCATATGTGCAAGGTAATTACTTATGCTATTATTCCAGCCCAGAATCTCAGTAAATACTTATTGAATGAATGTTGAAGCTGAGTCTTGACATTTTTACCAGGCAGTGGAAACAGTATGCATAAAGATGAAACAAGTGGCTTGAAGTGGTTTGGTGTGTTCTAAAATTGGGAAGTGTTAGGACTGGGGGATGGAGGAGGAGAGCCAGTGAGTTAAGCAAGGCTAGCAGTTCAAGCGTACAAACAGCATTTAGAACTTTTGCAATATCTTGGTTAGTTCCAGAATTTTTCCTCTCTTTGGTTTTTGAGCCGCATGCAGCAGTGCTTGGGAATTATTCCTGGCTTTGTGCTCAGGATTCACTCCTGGCGATGCCTGAGGCATCGTATATAGGACCAGCGATCAAATCCAGGTTGGCTGCAGGCAAGGCAGGTTCCTTAACTTCTGTACTATCTCTTCACTACTTCCTGGTTTTATTTATGGGGCCATACTTGGGGAGGGGGGCCTGCTCGAGGCAATCGACTTGGGGAGGAGTAGGGTATGTGCAGGGCCAGAGATTAAACTCAGGCTATTTGTGCTTTTTCCCCAACCCTGTCTGTTTATTTATTTTTAAAAATTTGTTTTTGGAGGGGGTTTTGGGGCCACACCCAGTGGCATTTAGGCTTACTCTAGATTCAGTGCTCATATGTGGTACCAGGGTTTAAACTTATGTTCAGCCACATGGAATGCAAGTGCCTTATCCTCTCTACCAGCTCTCAGGCCTTGTGTGTTGATTTTAGTATAGGTTCCCCCTTCATTTCATGGTGGTGTGATTGTGGTGATTGGGGGCTGCATACTTGATTGCAGGTGTATAAGCTGCCAGGAGCCTCACATTTTTGTTGTGTCTTGGGGTCACACTTGGCATGAAAGGCAGTACCACTGAGATTGCACTTGGCATATAGAGTGGTACTGGAGCACTCTCAGCTGCAAGGCAGGTGCTCTACCTGAGCCATCCCTGGGCACATGTGTGTTGATTTTGTATTCTGGAACTTTACTGAATTTGTTTATGAACATGAATAGGTTTTTTATTTGTTAGATTTAACAAATAGATTTTTTTGGTGGCTTTTTTGGTGACTTCTTTAAATCATATGCTGGTTTTACTTTATCCCTTCCCATTTGTTTTGTCTGTTGCCTTTTCTTGTCTGGTTGCTCTACCTGGAATTAGCATCTTGACTTGTGGTGAAAACAGGCATCCTTGTCATCCTGATTTTGGAGGGAAAGCTTTCAGTTTTTCACCATTTAGTGTTAGCTGGGGTTTTTTCTTTTTTTTTTTTTTTTCTGATAGTGCAGGAGATAAAATATAGGAATTTAAGCATGCAGGGGAAGTATTTTACCACAGAACTACAACCTGTGCCCTCCTTGTGGTTTTCATCAGTGCATTTTATCACACAAGGTGTTGAATCTTTGTCAAATGCTTTTTCTGCATCATTTGAGATGAGCAATGAATTTTTCTTTTATTTTTATAGAGTCACTGTGAGATAGTGACAAAGCTGTTCGTGAGTAGGTTTCAGTCATACAGTATTCCAACACCCATTCCTCCACCAGTGTACATTTCCTCGCACCAATGTCCCCAGTTTTCCCTCCCATCACCCCTTCAATCCCCAGTCTGCCTCTATGGTAGGAGCAATGAATATCTTTCAGTGGGGGTGTGATGAGGGTTATATTTGTATTTATAAAGTTACTCTGGCAGATAATTCAAAGAGAGAAAGGATATTGTTAGTGGGATAGCTATTAAAGTTTTTTGGGTTTTGGGTCACACCCAGCAGTGCTCAGGGATCACTTTTTTTTTCTTTTTTGGGTCACACCCGGTGATGCACTCTTGGCTCATGCACTCAGGAATTACCTGGTAGTGCTCGGGGTGCTGTATGGGATGAGGGAATAGAACCCGGGTCAGCCACGTGCAAGGCAAATGCCCTACCTTCTGTGCTATTGCTTCATCCCCTGAGGGATCACTTTTGGTGGGGTTGAGAGACCATATGAGATGCCGGGAATTGAACCCACATTGGCCATGAGCAAAGCAGATGCCCTCCCTGCTGTACTACCATTCTTGCCTCACAATAATTGTTGAAAAATTCACACAACTCTTAGGAGTTCGTAACTCTTGAGGGATATCCTAGTAAATGGTCTTAGTAATTTAGTCTCGTTTTCATCTCATAGGAAGTGCAATAGCATTCTCAACATTATCACTTAAAGGGTTTGGGTTGGTCCTTATGCAGAGGAATCATTTGTTATTTTGTATAATAATATAATCTTTTGTTTACTTTTGTTTCAGAGGGAAGGCCTTTCTAAATTCAACAAAATATATGAATTTGAATATCATCTCTATGGCCAGGTAAGGCACTGCAATGCTTTTATCATTCAGCTGATAGATACTTTCAGATCCAGTTGCCATTTTGGCGTCCTTTCTGTTTTTGTTTTGGGACCAGAGCCAGTGCTTGGGGATAGTCCCAGTACAGAGTTTAGGGGTTCCTCCTGAAAGTGCTGGTGGCTGTGCAGTGCCAGGGATTAGCCTGTGGGCTCCTTCACGCAAAACATGTGCTCCAGTCCTCTGGATCGTTTTCCAGGTCCTCATTTGGGTGTGCTGACCTTGAACTTTTAGTTATGGCTAAAACAAATGTTTACAAGTCCTTTCTAAATTGCTAGTGTTTTATAGTTACTTGTCAAGAAGAATTAGTCAAGACTGGGATGTAGCTCAGAGGTCCTGCATACTCATGTGTGGTGGTAGGTTTAATTCCTGGCACCACTAAAAATTAGGCTAGCCATGATAGAATATGTCTTTGACTTTTAAAAAAAATTTTTTTATTAAATTGCTCTAAGTTATAAAGTTATTAATGATTGAGTTTCAGGTGTACAGAGTTCCGACATGTGATTTTTGAGAATTGCAGCTATTGTTGCAACCTAAAGATCTCTATTTATAGGTTGTGACCATTTCATAATTTATATGAATGTCTCTCTTTTACTTAAATAATTTCCCCCCTCTCTGTTCTCATGCACACCAGTGATCTTGGTATATTGAGGATAATTCATTTCTGATGTAGGGATTACACTTGCTGTTATACCAGGAATTGAACTCTTGATTTGACACCTACAAAGCAGATACTACTTACAGAACCTTATCCTTGGCCCTGGAAATCTATTTAGTATTACTCTATTTAATAATACTGAGTTTTCATCTCAATATTTTATAACAAGAAAGAAGCCAATATGCAGAGATTTGGGGAAATTTAAAATTAGAGCTGGGAAGATGTCTCAGAGGTCTAGAGTATATTCTTTTCATTTGGGAACCCCAACTTCAACTCCCCCAGTACTATGTGGTCCCCTGGGCACTGAGCCAGAAGTAGCCCCAAAACACTGCCAAATCTAGCTCCAGATACAAAAGATTGAAAATTATACAAAAAGCATCTTCTAGAATTTGAATAACCATTGTATTATGATGACCTTTTGCTTCTAAGAGTTGTTTGTTTTTTCCTAATCACTAGTTTTGTTTTAATAGACTTTTTAGGGGTGGTGGGGATAGAGGTGTTAGGCCACATCTAGTGATGCTCTGGGGTTATTCCTGATTCTTCCACTCAGGAATTGCTCCTGGCAGTACTTGGGGGCTGCAGGTAGGGAAAACCACATGTGTGCTATAAGGCAAACACCCTACCTGCTGTACTGTAGTCTGGCCCCTAGTTGGTTGGTGTTTGTTTTGGGGCCACACCCGATGATTCTCAGGGCTTACACATGGGTCTTCACTTAGGAATTATTCCTGGCAATGCTGGGGGACCATATGGAATGCCAGAGTTCAAATCTGGGTTGTCTACCTGCAAGACAAGCATCTTACCCAGTGCTTGGGGATATTCCCAGTACAGAATGGGTGGGTGGGCGCATTAAATGTTCTTTCTCTGTGGCCCCTAATTTATTTATTGAAGGTCAAGCTTAAGTTTACAATAAAATTGAGAGGGAGATCCAGTCTCCAACTGCTCCATGCCCTCACACACTGTTCCTTTTAGGATTATTCCTCACTGGAGCAATACCTTGTTTCACTTAATGAGCCTGCAGCAGTAACACACAATTTCTATGAGTCCATAGTTGACGTTAGCTTCCACTCTTGGGTGGTGTTTATAGGTTTGGATAAATGTGTAATGACATCTATTATAATATCATACCGTTTTTCACTACCCTAAAAACCTTCTGTGTTCTGCTGAAGAGAGTCCAGAAGTCAAGATGCTTTCTTTGCCCAGGGTTGCCCCTGCATTGATCTCTGGCACTGCATATGATCCCTGAGCATTGCCAGGAATCCCTGAGTATTGCTGGGTATGGCCCCAGCCTCCTGCCCTACTCCAGTCCTTCTGTGTTCTTTCTAAATATTCCTCCCTTCCCTTCCCATACCCCAACAGCCATTTTATTTTGTATTAGTACAAGTCCCTTCCTTTTACTTGATTTTGCAAAATGTAATTGCTAAAAGACTAACTTGGGTTTTGTTGTCATTCAGAATGTTACCATGATAATGACTTCCGTTTCTGGACATTTGCTGGCTCATGATTTCCAGATGCAATATCGCAAATGGTCAGTATAATTCTTAGGGAGAGAACTTTTGATACAGTAAATTGTGAGATGTTACAGAAATTTGATTTTTGTTTCGTTTTGGGAGTTTGTTGTTGTTATTGTTGTTGTTTGGTTATTTTTTTGTTTGTTTTTGGCTTTTTGGGTCACGTGGCTTTTTGGCGATGCTCAGGGGTCACTCCTGGCTCTGCACTCAGGAACTACTCGGGTTGGCCACATTTGAGGCAAGTACCCTACCCACTGTATTATTGCTCTAGACCAATTATAGGAACTGGAGGCATGTTGATATTACTGTGTTAATTTTTAATTCTGACAGGTTCATGCTGTTCATACTACTGTAACAAAATACCATTGACTCCTGCAACAGTTTCTTGTAGTTAAGGAGACTGGAGTCAGAGATGGGGTGCCAGCCTGGTCCTCTTCTAATTACACATGTAGACCTCTCACTGTTTCCTTACAGGGGCTAAGTTGCTGGGGGCTCTTTTGTAGAATCAAATATCAATTAGGAGGACTTCACCTTCATTACCTAGTGACACCATCATATTGGCTTTAGGATTCCACAGGATTCCAGCTTATCTGGTGGGTGGGTGCATTAATAACTATAGCAGTGCCCTGGGAAAATTCACCATGAATTTTTACCATGTTTAGAAGAATAGTCACTTTTATAGTGGGTGTCACCAAGGAGAATACTTTTGAGTGTTTGCCCCAAATTATCTGGGTGCTTTTCATGCTCTCATTGGGTTGTCTTTATCCTATTTCAGATGTGCATAAAAGAGTTTTGGAATTTCTTTTTTGTTTGTTTTTAGTTTTGGTTTGGGGGCCACATCTGGCAGTGTTCAGGGCTTTTGTCTGGCTCTGCTCTCAGGGATCACTCCTGGTGGGCTCAGGGGAGCAGATGGGGTTCCAGAGATTGAACCCGGGTCAGCTGATTGCAAAGTAAGTGCCCCACCCATAGTACTCCTGAGTTTTGGAATTTATTCTTATTGCCTATGAATTGTCACAGGAAATGGAAGGTGTATTATATAGGAGTCATAGTCTTGGTTTTTTGTTTATTTTTTAGGGGGTATTTATTTTTATTAAGACATCATGATTTACAAAGCTGTTTATAATAGAATTGTGTCAGGCATACAATGTTATAACATCAGTTCCATCACCAGTGTCCCCAGGGTCCCTGCCATCCCACAGTCTGCCCACTTGGGCAGGCATATAATAAACTTACATTGCTTTCTCCAACAAAACTTAAAGAAATGGCAAATGGAATTATCAGAAGATAAATCAACAAAAGTCAATCTATAATGATTGTTGGGCTGGAGTGATAGCACAGCATTAGGGCGTTTGCCTTGCACGCAGCCAACATAGCCAACCCGAGTTCGATTCCTCCGCCCCTCTCGGAGAGCCCAGCAAGCTACCGAGAGTATCTCGCCCGCACAGCAGAGCCTGGCAAGCTCCCCGTGATATATTCGATATGCCAAACACAGTAACAACAAAGTCTCCAATGGAGACATTACTGGGCCCGCTCAAGCAAATCAATGAACAACGGGAAGATAGTGACAGTGATAATGATTGTTATGTGATTACAATCTATGTAAATAAGAAAATTAAAATTATTTAATACTTGGGGCTGGAGCGATAGTACAGCTGGTAGGACATTTGCCTTGCACATGGCCAACCCTGATTCGATCCCTGACATCCCCTATGGTTCCCCAAGTGCTGCCAGGAGTAATTCCTTAGTGCAGAGCCAGGAGTAATTCCTGCGCATCACTGGATGTGACCCAAAAAGCAAAAAAATAAAAAATAAATTTAAAATAATTATTTAAGAGACTGGAGCAATAGCATAGAGGGTAGGGCGTTTGCCTTGCACACGGCTCACCCGGGTTCGATTCCCAACATCCCATATGGTCCCCCGAGCACTGCCAGGAGTAATTCCTGAGTGCATGAGTCAGGAGTAACCTCTGTGCAAAGCCAGGTGTGACCCATACAGCAAAAAAAAAAAAAAAAAAAATTAATACAATAGAATATTCTATTTCATGTATATAACTAAGTTTTTAGTGGCACCTAAAGCATACTGCATTAAATATTATTTTGTACTTGAACCTTATTACGGTAATCATCATATTTTTCCTGTCATAGATGAGACTTCTTTTTTTTCCCCTTTGTCCGATATATCACTGTATCACTGTCATCCTGTTGGTCATCGATTGCCTTGAGCAGGCCCCAGTAAGGTCTCCTTTGTCCTAGCCCTGAGATTTTAAAAAGTGCCACATTCGGGCTCTTTCAGGGTCAGGAGAATGAGACCCATATTATATTACTTTGTCAAAAAAAACTTAAAAGAATGTCAAGTGGCCAGAGCAATAGTACAGCTGGTAGGGCGCTTGCCTTGAATGTAGCCAATCTGGATTCTATTCCACCCCTCATATGACCCCCTGAGCACCACCAAGAGTATTTCCTGAGTCCAGAGCCAGGACTAAGCCCTAAGCATTGCCCTATGTGGTCCCAAAACCAAAAAAATAAACAAAATGAGTTTTTTAAAAAAAGAATGGCAAATAGAATTATTAGAAAATAAATCAATAAAAGCGAATTTGTGATGAATAATTGCTATGTTTTTAACCATGCTTAATATAGCATAGGGCAACCATACAACATTAAAAGGTAAAGGTAAAGGCCCTCCCGTTGATCGTCGATTTGCTCAAGCGGGCCCAGTAACGTCTCCATTGGAGACTTTGTTGTTACTGTGTCTGGCATCTCGAATACTCTCGGTAGCTTGCCGGGCTCTCTGAGAGGGGCGGAGGAATCGAACTCGGGTCAGCCATGTTGGCTGCTTGTAAGGCGAACGCCCTACCCGCTGTGCTATCGCTCCAGCCCATACAACATTAGTGACTACTATATTGAATACAACATGATGGGAAGTTTCTCTTGTCCTTTAAAAAAGCCTTTTTTATATCCGGACTGCACAGTAGGTTACTGTCACCGGGCCACCCCAGGGGGGCAGTGGTTTCGTGCCTTGGCCTGTTCCCCCTGGTGACCCAGTGGCCACCATCCTCCAGAGGCCACTGGACAGTCAGGTTTGGGCCCGCAGTGACGAGACACGTGGGGCCTCACGGGATGGGGGTGGAGCCGGCCCTTTTCTCCCCGTCCCAACAAGACCCCGAGTTGTCTCCCACGAATGGCCTCTCTGGCTCCTGATTAAGCTGCTTAATGGCCATGATCCCAGAGACTCAGAAACAAATCTTGAAACCCAGCAGCTTTTGGCAGAAATGTGTCCGGACTGCGCAGTAGGTTACTGTCGCCAGGCCACCCCAGGGGCGAAAGGGTGCTATCTCTCTACCTGCTCCTCCTTGGTGGCTCGGTGGCCACCATCCATCCTCCAGAGGCCATTGGATAGTCCGATTTGGGCCCACAGTGATGAGACACGGGGCCTCACGGGATGGGGGTGGAGCCGGCCCTTTCCTCCCCATCCCAGTAAGACCCCGAGTCGCCTCCCACAAATGGCCTCTCTGGCTCCTGATCAAAGTTGCTTAACAGCCATGATCCCAAAGACTCAAAAACAAATCTCGGATCCCAGTGGCTTTTGGCAGAAATGCATTCGAACCCTGCAGTAGGTTACTATCACCAGGCCATTCCAGGGGGGAAGGGTGCTGTCCCTCCACCTGCTCCCCCTAGGCAGCTCGGTGGCTAACATCCTCCAGACGCCATTGGACAGTGAGGTTTGGGCCCTCAGTGATGCGACATGCGGGGCCTCACGGGATGGGGGTGGATCCAGCCCTTTCCTCCTTATCCCAACAAGACCCCAACTCGCCGCCCACTAACGGCCTTTCTGGCTCCTGATCAAGCTGCTTAACAGCCATGAGACTCAGGAACAAATCTCTGCTTAAAGGCCATGAGACTCAGGAACAAATCTCGGAACCCAGCAGGTCTTGGCAGAAATCCCTCCAGATTTAATTGTTAAAATTTCAGAATTTCAAAATCACGTGGCCACTACTGTAGCCACGCGACATCATATGTTATTCATAACCAGCAATAGAAACAAATTGTTTGCTGTTGCCTTTTCAGCAGATCTGAGTGTTGGGGTAAAATCTCAAATAATAATGGTGGGTCTGGTGTCTGGTGTCAAAATATTTAATGTGATCAAAGTAGAGAGAGAGTAATGTGGAAATCATCTGCCCCACAGGTAGGGGGAGGATGTGGGATGGGGATATACTGGGGTTTTTTGTGGTGGAGAATGGGCACTGGCGAAGGGATGGGTGTTTCATTGTATGACCGAGACTTAAACCTCAAAGCTTTGTAACTGCTCTCACTGTAATTCAATAAATAAAATTATAAAAAATGAAAAAAAAAAGCCTTTTTAATGCTTCTTATAAAATTGGTTCCAAGGTCAGAGCAATAGTACAGCCAGTAGGGCATTTGCCTTGCACGTTGCTGACCCCGGTTTGATCTCTGGCATCCCATATGGTCCCCCAAGCACTGCCAGGAGTAATTCCTGAGTGCAGAGCCAGGAATAACCCCTAAGCATCACTGGGTGTAACCCCAAAAAGCAAAAAAAAAAAATTCTAAGACTGGTTTCAAGACTATGAATTCCCTGTGCTCTTGTTTGTTTATTAAGGTTTCTATAGTTACTTCAAATCTGAATGATGATCTAAGCTGGATAGAGTATTCTTGGTGAGGTGTTCAGTTCACTGAGTTTTTGTACTATATTTTTCCATATTCTTTGGCCTTGTGGAGTTTCATTTGATAGATCTACTGTACGTCTTACAGGTTTTCCTTTAAGTTCCTTTTTTGATCTTGGTGCATTCAATATTCTGTCTCTATCTTCAGATTTTGTCCTTTTGAGTATAGTGTGTCCTAGAGTTTTCCAAATTGGGTCTATTTTCACTGGGACCCTTTGAGCCTCTTGAATCTCAGTGCTGATAATCCTCAACTCTGGGAAATTCTTACTGATTTTTTTGTCTATTGTTTTTTCACAGTTGCCTTCCTGTTCTTCAGGGACTTGTTTTTAATATTCCAGCCTTTTCTGTTTATGAACACGGTGTACTGGAGAAATTCTTTCTCATTAAAATGGAAGAGTTGGGGTTGGAGAAACAGCTTAATGTGCTGAACCTGGCATTGCCTGCAGGAGGCTGAATTCAGCCCAGGGTACCGGGAGCAACTCCTGAACACAGTAGGAGTGACCTCTGAGCCCCAACCACATACAACCATAAAAAAACACATACATGGGGCCGGAGTGATAGCACAGCAGGTAAAGCGTTTGCCTTGCACGCGGCCAACCTGGGTTCAGTCCCCGGCATCCTATATGGTCCCCCAAGCACCGCCAGGAATAATTCCTGAGTGCAGAGCCAGGAATAACCCCTGAGCATCACTGCGTATGACCCAAAAAGAAAAAAAAAACACAAATAGAAAATGGGCGGCATTAGCTGGAAAATGCCACTGACAGAGAGTTAGAGTACATGTTCCCATGCAGGACCGTTGGTTTCTCCTTAGCATTGCATGATTCCCTAATCACAGCCAGAAGCAACTCCTGAGCACTGAGCTAGGAGTAGCCCCCAATCACAACCAGTTGTGGACCCCCTCACTTCCCAAAAAATAATAATGAAAGACATTACATCATGAGCTGAGGCATCTTTTTTTGTTTGTTTTGTTTCTTCTCTAGGCAGAGCTGCAATCCTCTCTTTCTCTTTGAAGCAGAAATTGAAAAGTATTGTCCAGAGAATTTTGTAGACATCAAGGTAGGCTTTTTTGGAAGACATCTGACTCTAGACATAATCACAAAATAATTGCACTAAGTGATTCTTATTTTTAGTGTATTAGAATTTAGAGGTAAGGCTTTCCACAGTCTTGATTCATGATTTAAAAATTATTACTCAGTTTGGGGAGATGACTCAAAGGGCTGGAGTGTACACTTTGTATGCTAGAGTCCCAGTTTTGTCCCCCGCCCTTTCTGTTCCCTTGAGTACCAGTGGTTATGGCCCAGGATGCAAGCAAACAAATGATTTCCCCCAGAGCCAGAGAGATAGTACAGATTTAAGGTGCTTGCCTTGCATGCACCAATCCCAGTTTGATCCCTGATACTGCATATGGTCCCCCCAAGCACCACCAGGAGTGATCCCTGAGCACAGAACTAGGAATAGAGCTTGAGCACTGCTGGTGTGATCCCCAAACCAATAGGTAAATATTCTTTTAATCTGTTTCATAAATGGGACCATGTAAATTAATATAGGAACTGGAGAAGGATTAAGCCTTTCTTGAGTGATAGTTATTTAAAGAAATGCTAGGACTAAGTTTTGGTGGTGTTTTTTTGTTTGTTTGTTGTTTTGGTAAGAAAGGGGATTTCTCAGGTCACATAGCAAATTCAGTTGTAAGGCGAGGATCAGAACTTCATGTCTTAAACATGTGTCATGTTGGTTTTTTCTATTTTCTATAAGTCCACCCTTTCCTGCAGGTATATACTAGAGTAATATAGTTATTAGCCTATTTCTCTTTTCATATAAGCACTATCACTACCTCTTCTGTGTTATTCTGAGGGTGAATTTGTTTTTACTTGGAAGCAGGACATGAAGTTCCAATTGTCCTGAGGAATAATAGCTAAGAGCCAACATTCCCGAGTTTTTACTGCCACTGATGGTGACTACTAGAAAAATGGTATCCCTTTTGTGTGAAGTGTTGTTTTGATAAGGAGCAGAGTCAAAAACATGGGCTTGGCTTTGGTTCATGTCTTAACTTCATTATTATGCCAGCAATCACCATGTTGTTAAATTTGTTTCCTCTCATCGCTTATTTATGTAAAGAGACTAAAAGTGTGAAGGTCATTAAACAGTAAATTAACTGGGACTTACCAACCACTAATTTTAAGTGCTTGTCAGAGCTGAGTTTTAGATTTCATCACAGGCGTAATTTTATGAAATCTCAATTCTTCTAAAGGGTTATTAATGAGTTTGGTTCTTAGCTAGAAGATTGGATTAATGGCCTCACCATCCTTACTGTTAAGCCTACTCCCAGAGGCTTTTTCCCCGCTATGGAGAAACTCATGTTCTATCTTAAACATGTATCTCTCTCTCTCTTTCTCTCCCCTCACATTTCTTTAAATTTCTTTGAATAAAACTATAAGAAAGAAACAAAGAAAGCAAGCAGGCATACTGTAATGTTTAGTCAGATAGTTTGTAGTGTAGAGGTCTTAAGTAGTTGCGCTATGCATTGTGTTCTCACTAATTTTTCCCCATTGGGAATTTTAGAAAACTCTGGAACGAGAGACACGGCAGTGTCAGGCCTTGGTCATCTGGACTGACTGTGACAGAGAAGGGGAAAATATCGGTTTTGAGATTATCCATGTGTGCAAGGCTGGTAAGTGATGCCACTTGGGAGTTTTCCTTTGGGACCACATAAGTAGATGGTTCTGTGTGTATGGGGTGGGGGGGTGGAGAGGGGGTGGAAGGGGGAAAGATGAGGCTGCATAATCTTCCCCGTGCGTTCATCCTCCTGAATTCTTCTGGGTCTTATCAGCATTAAGTCCTGGAGCAAGGCACTAAACCCTTGGGAGCCTCAACTTCCTCATCTGAAGGACCCGTTTGATACACTTTCTAGAGCTGCATGAGGACTGAGGTAGCAAGTGGCATAAGGCCTGTGGCCTGTGGTTTCTAATGTGTCAGACCCAAGTAGGTTGCCAGCACCTTGAGTAAAAGGACTCATACCTTCTTTTGTTTAAATTTTCACAGTCACGGTCCTCCCGTTGTTCATTGATTTGCTCGAGTGGGCCCAGTAACGTCTCCATCATAAGACTTGTTGATACTGTGTTTTATATTTACAAAATAGTGTATATGCGGTACATAAAATATGAAGAGTCATTTTAGAATTTGTGGGTTTATTTCCTTTTCCTTTCATTATTGCAGTGACCAGCTGTCATGCTTGGCCATGGTGCTTGCTTATATGCTTGTTGGGGTCACATCTTTAGCGGTGCTCACACACTTCTTCTGGTTGTAGAGCTTGCTGGGGATTATTGGTGCTCACTTGCTCTCACAGGTGACACCTCTTGGAACTGCACTATCATGCATCTTTGTTTTGTGAGATTGCACCCTGTTAGTTATGCTGCTCACACACACATGGCTTTTGTGTGACTGGAAATCACATGTGTCACTGAGGAGGGTGAAGATATGGCTGCTAGAATCAAGTATACTCAGCCATGTGTCAGCACTCCTCCATAAGGCAGGCATCTTAAGCTATTCTTACTAGGCTATTCTGTTTTATTTTTATTTATTTATTTATTTATTTATTTATTTTGGCTTTCTGGGTCACGCCCGGTGATGCACAGGGGTTACTCCTGGCTCTGCACTCAGGAATGACTCCTGGCAGTGCTCAGGGGACCATATAGGATCCTGGGAATCGAACCTGGGTTGGCCGCATGCAAGGCAAATGCCCTACCCGTTGTGCTATCGCTCCAGCCCTGGTTTAGTCTGCTATGTTCTTTGCACAGTGCTTAAACATTAGTAAATAATGGTTGGAGTGAATTTTAATGGCTTGTACAGGACTAATGATTTCAGGTAACTTAGAGAAAGTGTGCATAGCTTGTTCTCAACCTTCAGAAAGTGTGTGATGGGGACTGGAGAGATAGCACAGCAGGTAAGGTGCTTACCTTTCATATAACAAACCCAATTTGATCCCTGGGCTCCACATGGTCCTCTGAGCCCGCCACAAATTATCCCTGAGTGCAGAGCCAGGAATAAGCCCTTGCACTGCTGCATGTGGCCCCAACCCCCCCGCCCCCCAAAATGAAGAAATAGAAAGAATTTGATAGGAATGTTTTCTTGATTCTTATGTATCTTCATGTGTAAAGCCAAAATAATTCCTGAAATCTAGGTTTTAGTACATTGACTTTCAGAGACAGTATGTCTGTCTTGTGTTACTTCTGTGACAGGATATGAAATTTACCCATAGACGACATTGTGCTTCTCCCTAGAGTTCTAAGACAGAGGTTTCCAAATGTATTTGATCTGTCACTTCAGGCTGCTTCTGCTCACCCTCCCCTTTGGTCCAGGGCACCATTCCCACTAACTTCAAGGTCTCTGTCACCCTCTTTGGAAAATCCTAGTCTGAGAGAGCGAGAGAGATTGAAGTCTTAGAAGGTACATCAAGAGAATTTTAATCAATGGGATAAAATTGACTCTACTGTTACTTAGGAAAGCATTCAATTTAGTGATGATGACTGTTTCCCTTGTAGATGAGTCTTAATTTAACCCAGGGGTAAACTTGGACACCTTGTGGATTCCTGAGCTGGTTTGTTTTTCTTCGGGGTGGCTCAAATCAGGGCTTCAATGTAACTCAGCTGTAGGGTACTTGCCTTGCTTTGGGAGACCCTGTCACCCTTCAAAAGGAAAAGAAAAAGACAACTCTGTTTAGACTTCTTTCACAGCCCCTTTCATCCAAGAAATGTAGCACGGGCGGGCGCCGTCAAAAACAACTCAGATTTGTCATGCCATTGATTTTGAATTAAATTTTGATTGGTCTGCCTTCAGAACACTTTACTGGTTTTTGTTTGTTTGGTTTTTATTTGGGGGCCATACCCAGCTGTGTTCAGGAGTTACTCTTGGCTCTCTGCTCAGGGATGACTCCTGGTAGACGCTCAGGGCACCATCTGGGATGCCAGGGATCTACTCAGATCAGCTGCGTGCAGGGCACAGACCTACTCACTGAACTCTCTCCAGCCCCACAGAACCATTTACTCTTGCCAGATTTTTTTGCCACCCCCAATGTTCAGTTATGTGATCACTCCCCCATAGTGGAAGAAGCTAGAATTATGAAAAACAAGCCCCTGGGCCAGGGATTTGGTTCAGTGGTAAAGTGATGCTTTGCATTGGACCTGGGTTCTATCCTGATCATCCCAACGCAGAGCCAGGCAAACCCTCTGTTAGAAAAGGCAAAGTGATGTGACTGACGCCGCGGCTCTGTTCCATAGTGAAGCCCAGCCTGCATGTGCTGAGAGCCCGTTTCTCCGAGATCACTCTCCGAGCTGTACAGACAGCCTGTGAAAACCTCACTGAGCCTGATCAGCGAGTGAGTGATGCTGTGGAAGTCAGGCAGGAGTTGGACCTGCGGATCGGTGAGGACCCAGGCTGACACTCTTGACAGCTTATGTGACACGTGGGGTATTGGGTTGGGGAACCAAAAGTGAGGTTTCTGTGTTTCTATGTGTAGCCAGCTTTGACTTCCAATCCATAGTTTTTCTTCTTTCTTTCCCCACAACCTCACTTTCCAGGTGCTGCCTTCACTCGATTCCAGACCCTGAGGCTGCAGAGGATTTTTCCCGAGGTGTTGGCAGAGCAGCTGATTAGTTACGGCAGCTGCCAGTTTCCAACTCTAGGGTTTGTGGTGGAGCGGTTCAAAGCCATTCAGGCTTTTGTGCCAGAAATCTTTCACAGAATTAAAGGTAGGGCTGCTGAGGTTGTTTATGGGGTGGAACCCAAGGCTCGGGAATAACAGGGGCACCACTGCATGGCATCAGTGGGGCTCTTTTTTGCTTTAAGTTAGTCTTGCACCTTTCAGCCCATCTCGTTTTTTAGAAACTTTATTTGTTGTTTATTTATTTAGCGGGAGTTGGGGTCACCAGCAATGCTCAGTGGTAACTCCTGGTGGTGCTTGGGAGGCTGTGTAGTGTGCTGGGATTCGAACCTGGGTTGGCCATGTGCAGGGCAATACCCCTACTTGTTGTGTTATCTCTCCAGCCTGAGCCCATCTCATTTTGATTCTCAGAATCCTGTTTGTTTTGTTTTCTTTTTTCAAATCTTTTTTGTTTTGTTTTCTTTCAAATTTCACCGTAATATATTTTTTTCTATTTGTCTTATCCTGTGGCTTCTCTTATTCTCATCTTTCCTCAATATAGTAACTCATGACCACAGAGATGGAACTGTAGAATTCAACTGGAAAAGACATCGTCTCTTTAACCACACAGCGTGTCTTGTTCTCTATCAGATGTGTATGGAGGTAAGAAATACTTTGGAACTTGTTGTGGGGGCCACACACGCAGTGATGCTGAGTGCTTTGTCAGGGTCACATCCAGTGGTACTTGGGGCTATATGGTGCTGCGTAGCAAACCCAGGTTCTCCCATGAATGCCACGTGCTCTTCTGCTTGAGCCCCATCTTTGTCCAGATATTTCGAACCTTTAATGATGCAGGTTAGAAACTTCAACAACTATACAATTGAAACCCAAGCACAAAAATTTGTAAGTCTACAACTATACCTCATGGTGTCTCACTAATAAAAATTTAAAAAATAATAAATTTAAAAAAATAAAACTTCAACAACTTCTCAAGCATTTCTGTTGGAAGAGGTGAGCCTCTCCCATTTTTCCTCTGAAGTGTAGCTTTAAGATTGCATGGTTGAGCTTTAAGATTGCTTGGTTGAACCTTACTTGGGGGAATTGGTAAAGCAAAAACCTCATAAAATGGCACTAAAAATGTGGAGGGAAAGGATTTGTGGAACTTGTAGGTAAAATCAGAAACAAATAGGTCAGCTTAGGTAAAATTAGAAATCGAGTCAAGGAACTGGAGAGATGCTTGCTTGCAAGTGACTGACTGAAGTTCAGTTCCCAGCATCCCATATGGTACCCAGAGTTCTGCCAGGAGTGATTCCTGAGTGCAGAGCCAGAAGTAAGGCCTACGCAATGCTGGGTGTTGGCCCCAACAAATAAAAAAGAAATAGAGTTGACAGCAATGTACCATTAACTGTAACACTTTAGATTACAGACTTCTGGAGCAGGGCAGTTCAGACAGTATCTGGTTCAGCCCTCTCTCCCTTTGGTCAGGCAAGGAAATCTAGAAAGTTAAAAGTAACAAACTAAACATAAATGGATTTCAATCAGCAGTAAATGGCTGAAAATAAAATGAAGGTGAAAGAATAGCGAGTAGTCTAGGAGGCAGGAGTGCAGGAAGAGGACTCTGGTGGACATAAGAGGCCTTGCCATGGTGGCCAGTTTCTACCTTCCGACCAGTTGTCCATTCTGTGATGCCACTTCCTGTCAGTCAGCACACGAATGGCTGCTTTACCGGGGACTACACACAAAGTATAAGTAAACTCTGAGTTCTGTGTTTGGTGAGTTCGCTATGCTTTTCAGCTGTAGCCCAAAGGCAAGTTTATTATTGATTGGCTAAGAGGGAATACTGATCACAGGCTTTGTGCTATGCACTCTATTTTGTGTTATTTTATTTAGCCCTAACAGTGCTGGTGAGAGTTGTGATTCCCCCATAAAGCTGCAGTTTGTCTGGGAGGAAGGAGTCACCTTAGACATGTAAAATTGTCCCACTAAGACTCAGTATGAGAGGTGGGAGGTGGCATCAGGCTGCCAGTCCCAAGGCCTATATCTTGGCTGGGCAGAACCTCTGCCGCCAGTGAAGAACGAGGGCAGTCACCGAGAAGCCCACGAGGATGTAGTGACAGGTTAATGTGACCTCTGCTCTTCCTGACTTGTAGGATCCCAGGGCAACTGTGGTGGATGTGAGATCCAAGCCCAAGAGCAAGTGGAGGCCTCAAGCTTTGGACACTGTGGTAGGTTCCTTCCAGATAGCGGATGGCAACAGTCCTCAGCAACCCTGACTTTCCATTGTTCCAGACTGTGGTGGCAAGAGGCATCAGTGTCACAGGCCCCACTCAGGAAAGTGCTTGGGAAAAGCAGAAACCCCCAAATACAAGCCTTTGCCTCCTCTTCATGCTTTGTTGCTGATTTTCAGTGCTAGGGACTGAATCCTAAATCTCACACTTGACCACTGAGCCATATCCCTGGCCTCCTTTTTTGGTTGATTTCATTTTTGTGTTTGGGCCACACCAAGCCATACTCGGGTCACTCCTGGTATGCTTGGCGGGCCATTTGGGGTGCCAGGATGAAACCTGTGCTGACCAAATGCAAGGCAGGCACCCTACCCACTGAACATCGCATAAGCCCCAGAGCCTACCCTCCCCCCTCCGCCCCAAATCTAATATTGGGATTTGGGAGGAAAGGGAAAGATAAATCATCTGTCCTCTTGCTGTCCAGTATAACCAATATAGTCTCGATGTCTTTCCATTTTTTCAGATTTATTTTTCACTAAAGTAGTGGCTGCTCCCACTTTGGGGCATGGAGATTGCTCCAGTCGTTGCCCAGTGCTGGGGATCAGACGGGTTGGCCACGTGAAGAGGCAGCATGCCTTTATCCCTGTACTATCTCTCCAGCCCATGTCAACATCACTTTAATACCTGCTTTATCAGCCTATCATAGGATGAGGCCTCTTCAATTTTTTTGACCCCTATGGGAAACAAATCAAAGTAGGAGTGCCCACTCATAGTCACCACTTCGCAGGAAAATTCAGGGTATAAATGTTACTGGGATTACCACACAGAACATTTGATGAAAATATGGAGGAACACTTTATATCAGATACTGTGCGTGTGTGTGTTTCTGTTCATGTGTGCATGTGAGTGAAGGGGTAATGAGGAGGAACTGTGGATTGACTTCAGAACTAGATTAGTATTTTGCTTGTTTCCCTTCGTCCAGTTACTTTGATGTCCGCAGCACTGTGGGAAATGTTGAGGGCAGAGGGGTGAAAGCCATCAGTCTCCCAGGAGGCCTCTCAGCAACTTACATATCAAGTATTAAACATTCAGGGGAATTAACTGGAACATGGATGGTGTTCCCAAAACACGGTTTCTGATTGCCTGTGTTAGAATGAATATACTGACTGCTCATGAGAATAATGCAGTTTTCTGGACTTTTTTTCACCCTGAACCCTGGAACTTGGGGTGGCAAATCTGCTTACTTTCCCAGGTGAGCCTTGCTTCTTCTCGTTATTCTAAATACCAGTGAGCTGGGAGCTAATTTCCTGGCAGACCCAGGTAATTTGGACTCCACAGAGACTGTGAAGATGTGCATTGTGTGTTTGTGTTGTGCCCAAACACTCACTCTGCTCTCTGACATGCTTATTGGCTCATTTACCAGGAGCTTGAGAAACTGGCTTCTCGAAAGCTGAGAATAAATGCCAAAGAAACCATGAAGATTGCTGAGAAGCTCTACACTCAAGGGTAAATATTCCATATTGGGTCATAGAATTTTAGACATTTTCTACCAGAATGAAATACCGAAGAACTAGAGCTTAGGGAAAACACTCTGTCTAGCTATCACCAGAGTTCTGAAATAGAATTTTGGTCTTGGCTTCTCTTCTCTGATATGAAAAAGGTATTTCAAAGTCACTTACTCTCCTTAAAATAGAAGCCCAGGGGCCGGAGCAATAGTACAGCAGGTAAGGCACTTGCTTTGCATGTGACCTAACATCCCATGTAGTCCCCTAATCATTACTAGGAGTAATTCCTTGAGTACAGAGCCAATAGTAACCCCGTGAGCATCACCAAATGTGCCCCACCCCCCACCAGAAGTCCAGAGAAAAATTCAGATCTTTTTTTTTTATTCCTCCACAGCCCTCCAGAGCTCTGGAAGGTGGCAGGTGGCACCTTTGGGAATGTTAGTCTGTCATCAGTTTTTCCTGTGCCGTTCAGTGACCTTGTTCTGTGCTGACCAGTGTGGCAGCTATTTTCCATATATAACAATTGAGCACTTAAATTTAGGTTTTTCAGGGTTTGGGGAGTTAGTTCAGTGGGAAGGCATTTGCCTTCCACACAGCCTACCCGGGTTTAATTCTCTAGAACCCCATAAGGTTCCCTAATCCCTATCAGAAGCAGCCCCTAAGTGCAGAACTAAGAATAAACCTGAGCACTGCTGGGTGTAGCTTCAGCAAAACTAAAATATTCCCTTCCTTCTAAGAATTAAAATTCAAAAGGAGAGTGAGATACTGAAAGAAATATTTATTTGATCCATGCTATGACAAGGTCCTGTAAAAATGCAATGTAATAATGACATTTTTTTATGAACAGGAATAAAAAAGCAGCATGTACCAATTGAATAAATTTTAGTTTGATAATATTTATTCTTCAGTGATTTTTTTTTTTTTAAAGATACTAGAATAGTACAGCAGGTAGGGCGTTTGCCTTGCACACGGCCAACAGTATCCCATATGGTCCCCTGAGCATTGCCGAAGTAATTCCTGAGTGCAAAGCCAGGAGTAACCCCTTTGCATTGCAGGATGTGACCAAAAAAGCCAAAAAATAAATAAAATAAATATTGGCAAAACAGCCCAAATACAGTAAAGGAGAAGTAATAAAAAATAATGGGAGGAATGGGACCAATTGTTCTATGAAAGTAAATCTGTCAAAATTATGTCCTTCAAAAAAAAAAAACTAAAATAAATCTGGGTGGTTCAGATTGGGAAGTGCTGTATGTGGAAAATATGCTGGTTTTTTGGAACATCTGTTAAAAGAATGGAGGTGAACCTTTTAGTTTTCAAGTAATTAGTGGAACACTTAAAACTATATGTCGGATCCACATTATTGTTTTTTGTCCTTTCTATACTTTTAATAAAGGGCGGTCCTTGAAGCCCATAGTGCTGGAGTTGTTGGGGCCATGAGGCTCATCTCTGGCCCAGGGATGTTGTCCCCCTCTGTCAGGGAGAGGGCTGGGAGCTTGCCTGGGGCCCACACCTGCAGGGAGCTCTGAGCCTCATGGCATGCATGTCCTCTCCCGCCGCCCACTCATCTGTACTTTGAGTGTCCTTGCAGGACACCCTGCTGCTTTTCATTCCAGTTGGGGCTACGCTTCACGTCTTTTCTGAATTGCGTAGGTCAGATGGGTCATTTCAGATGGCATGAGGTAAAGACTTAGTCAAATAATTTCTTTCCCTTTTATTTTTTGCATTTGCTTTAGGTACATCAGTTATCCCCGAACTGAAACGAACATTTTCCCCAAAGACTTAAACCTGGCAGTGCTGGTGGAGCAGCAGACCCCAGATCCACGCTGGGGGGCCTTTGCCCAGAGTATTCTAGAGCGGGGTGGACCCACCCCACGCAATGGAAACAAGTCGGACCAAGCTCACCCTCCTATCCACCCCACCAAGTATGCCAGCAACTTGCAGGTTGGTTTCCTGGCTGGACCTAAGAGGAAGAGGAGAGGGCAGGAAGAGCGTTTGACTGTTCTTCCTGGGCTCTTCTTTTAAGGACTGAGTCAGTTTGAGAAATTGTTTCCAGTTTAGGGAAGTTGGTGTCAAAGTTGCATGTAACAGTCTTTCAGGATCTAATACTCAATGCTCAGCTTTGGTGAAAAAGGGCTGGGGGCTTTTAGCTTGTTTTACATTGGTAGATCATTACAGAGTGAAGATTTGTGATTTTTTTTTTTTTTTACTATTAATGTTCTGCATTGTTCCTTATTTTTTTCAGGGGTAAGCTGGGCAGGTGATGATCAGGGCTTCCTTCTGGCTCAGGGGTTACTCTTAGTGGTAGTCGGAACCATAACAGTTTCAGGGATCAAGCTGGGGTCAGCCATATGCAGCACAGCTACCTTAATCTCTGTCCTGTCTCTCTGGTGCTCTTTTAAAGCATTACATCTTCAGGACTGGAGCGGTAGTACTGCTGGTAAGGTGCTTGCTTTGCTCACAGCTGACATGTGTTCTGCTCTAGTATACCATACGGTCTCCTGAGCCCACCAGGAGTAAGCCCTAAGCATAGCTAACTATGTTTATCCCAGCACCCACCCATCCAAAGATAAAGAGCATTAATGTTCAGGGGCACAGAGAGAGAGTACTGTGGGTAAGGTGTACTTACACTCACCCAACCCGAGCTCACCAGGAGTGATTCCTGAGAGCCAGGTAGCCCTGAGCATAGCTAGGTAGCGCCCCAAAACAAGACCAGACAAAAAAGCAGTATAGGTGCTGGAATGATAGTACAGTAGGTAAGGCCCTTGTCTTGCATGCAGCCAACCCAACCTCAGTCCTTGGCATCACATATGGTCCCCTGAATACTGCTGGGTATGGCCCCCAAACAAAAACAAACAAAGCATTACTTGCTCATTTTAGGCAATGTGGAATATACTAAATCTTATAAAGAAGAAAAAAATTGCCTCTACTCTCAACTCTACAAGAGCATGTATATGACTCTTAAATAAAATTATAACCCTCACTTTATAATCTACTTTTTTCCCATTTTATATTATAAAATATTTCGCTGTATGCTAAAATACTTTAAAGCATAGATTGTTACATTATGTTAACTGTAGTATGTTCATTATATACCATAAACCACTGTGCCAGATCTGATAGTAAGATTGTTTGTAACTTCCTTGAGTGCGATGTAGTTTGGTTAACATTTGTATACATAGAGGCAGGGATGTGACTCAGCAGTGGAGCTCTTGCCTTCCACTTGTGAGTTCCTGGCTTTGATCCCTGACACACTGACTAAAGACAACAGATGCATTTTAGGAGAATTATTGGAAGTGAGAGCATATATTCAGTAGGCTTTCGATAGATTGAGTCCTACTATTTACTTAAGTGGCAGAGAATTATTTGTTTTGTTTATTTGGAGGTCACACTTGGCTATGCTCAGGAGTTGCTCCTAGCTCTGCTGGAATCACCCCTAGCAGGTTTGGGAACTATAGGGGATACCTTGGACGAACCCAGGACAGCCACGTGAAAGATAAGTACCTTATCTGCTGTACTATCACTTGGCAGAAAATTCTTATAAATCCAATCTATGTTCATGAAGTTGTCTGCGGCTTCTTATATATTTAGTATTTCTAGTTAACCTGCTTTTCTACATAAAAGGGATCTTTTTTTTTAATTTTAATTTTTATAAGTGAGACACCATGAGGTACAGTTGTAGACTTACAAATTTTTGTGCTTGGGTTTCAATTATACAATGATCAAATACCCATCCCTCCACCAGTGCCCATTTCCCACCACCACGGATCCCAGTATCCCTCCCACCCGTCACTCCCCCATCGCACCCTGCCTCTGTGGCAGGGCATTCCCTTTTGTTCTCTCTCTCCTATTGGGTGTTGTGGTTTGCAAAAGAGGCAATGAGTGGCAATCATGTTTGGTCTACAGTCTACTTTCAGCATGCTTCTCCCATCCTGGGAGGATCCTCCCAACCTTTATTTGGTTCTCCCTTCTCTATCTGAGCTCCCTTTTCCCCTAGCATGTGTGGCTGGCCTCCAAGCCATGGAGTAAGATTCCTGGTACTAATCTCGGCCATTTTTGGGTGTTAGTCTCCTATTTTGTTATTTTATATTCCCCAGATGAATGCAATCTTTCTATGTCTATCTCTTTCTTTCTGAGTCATTTTGCTAAACATGATACTTTCCATGAAGTACCACTTGTATGTAAATTTCATGACTTTCTTCTTTTCTAACAGCTACATAGTACTCCATTGTGTAAATGTACCAAAGTTTCTTTAACCAGTTATCTGTTCTTGGGCACTCAGGTTTTTTCCAGATTCTGGCTATTGTAAACAGTGCTGCAATGAACAAGCAAGTGCAGATGTCACTTCGACTATACTTTTTTGCCTCTCTGGGATATATTCCCAGGAGTGGTATTGCTGGGTCAAATGGGAGCTCAATTTCTAATTTTTTGAGAATCGTCCATACTGTTTTACAAAAGGACTGAACCAGTCGGTATTCCCACCAACAGTGAAGGAGGGTCCCTTTCTCGCCACATCTGCGCCAGCACCAGTTGCTTTTGTTCTTGTGGATGTGGGCCTGTCTTTGAGGTGTGAAATGATATCTCATTGTGGTTCTGATCTGCATCTCCCTGATGATTAATGATGTGGAGCATTTTCTCATGTGCCTTTTAGCCATTCGGATTTCTTCTTTGAGAAAGTTTCTATTCATTTCATCGCCCATTTTTTGATGGGGTTGGATGTTTTCTTCTTGTGGAGTTCAACCAGTACTTTGTATATCCATAAAAGGGATCTCTTGATAGCTTTAACTTTTTCTCATATTCTTCCCCATTTGGGTTTATGTCCAAAGAACCACTTACCATTCTTGAGGACAAAATAGCTCCCTTGCTTCTCTTGGATTAGAATTGTGAATGTCATTAAGCCTCAACCGAAAAAAGCACAGAAGATTAACCTTTTGGTCTAAGTGAGTGGAAGCAGCCATGGCAGCGAAGTACCTTATCTTTGGAGAATGTGCAGCTGAACATTGGCACAAAACAGATTATAAATCTGGACAGTGAATGATGTATGATTCTTGAGAGGGAATCTCAGTCTTTTTTCTTCTTCTTCATAGGGTGATGAACAACGACTTTATGAATTTATTGTCCGCCATTTCCTGGCTTGCTGCTCCCAGGATGCTCAGGGACAGGAGACCACTGTGGAGATAGACATTGCCCAGGAACGCTTTGTAGCCCATGGCCTCATGATCCTGGCCCGAAACTACCTAGATGTGTATCCGTATGATCACTGGAGTGACAAGGTGATTAATTGTTGGCCTTCTTGGGCTGGGGTTCATGTCTCACCCCTGAGTCTCAGGGAGAGAAGAAGCTGATAGTATTCTGGGCTTTGTGCCATCTTGAGGCGGAGCCTTGTTCCTGAAAGGGAGGTTGGGTTTTGCTGGGTGTCATGGTAGTGTTTCCACCAATGCTTCTGCTACTCTTTGTAGACCCTGCCTGTCTATGAGAAAGGCTCCTGCTTTCAGCCCAGCACTGTGGAGATGGTGGATGGGGAGACCAGTCCCCCGCAGCTGCTCACTGAGGCAGACCTTATTGCCCTCATGGAAAAGCATGGCATCGGTCAGTGGCCCATCATCATGGTAACTAGCAGCTCTTGAGCATTCAGTATGTGCCAGGCACTGTTTCTCTGTTCTCCACCACTCAAGCCCAGTGTTATATTCTCCTGGGACCTTCATAGCTGAGATGAGACTAGAGAAGTTACAAACCTACTCTCTGGGACCAGAGAGATTGTGCAAAGGGTAGTGGCTTGCCTTGGATGTGGCCGACCCAGGCTCAATCTCAGCACCCCATAAAGTTTTTTGAGCCCCACCAAGAGTGATCCCTGAGCACAGAGTCAGGAATAGGCCCTGAGCTCTTTTGGGTATGGCCCAGAAACCAGAAAATGAAGAATAACAACAATCTACTATCTGAGGTCACAAAATATGTGTGTGGGGGGGCGGGAGGGGGTTGTTTGTTTATTTTGTTTGGGCAATGCCAGGGATTGAATTAAACCTTGGGTCTCAAACCTGTAAGAAAAATACTCTGCCAGTGAGTCACATCCCCCAGCTCTTGTGCATGCATTAATAACTCCACAGTTGATGTTCTTCCTCTCTCTGTGCCCTGGAGTTGGTCTTTCTGACTATGCTCAGGACCTTTTATATGTTTCTGGGGATCACACTGGGGTCGACCACATACTGATCAAGTGCCTTAGCCCTGTACTCTCTCCAGCCCTTGAGTTTTAAAAAAGCCCCAACATTGAAAACCTGAACAGTTTTTTGTAAATGCCAAGTACCTTTTGGAAATTCAGGAGGTTTGAACTCGCTGACGTGGCATTGCTGCCTGACTCTGAGTGGCTTCAGTTTCCTGTAGGCATCTCAGTGGCTCCCACTCAGCACTCACTTGCTACATGCCAGCCCCCTGTTGGGGTCAGAATTTGTTACCCCTGCTGTGAGCCAGGGGCGACAGACTTTTAGCTTTGTTTTTTTCTTTCATATTTTGTTTCTTGGTTCACACCGGGCAGTGCTCAGGAGTTACCCCATGGGAATGCCAGGGATTGAACTCGGGTCATCCACATGCAAGGCAAGTGCCCTACCTGCTGTATTTTCACTCCTACCCAAGGAGAAAAACTTCAGGCAAGAATTTGAGAGTGTAACTGGCAACGCAAGTGGAAGTGGTTGGGAGCGTGGTGAGGACACACTGAGGGTTCTGCCTGGCTCCCCTGCAGGTGCCTCACCTGTAATAGGAGGTGACTGTGGAGATGAGTCAGGGACACCTGGGGGATCACTCTGAGTTTACCTTACTAATCTGAGGTGGCTTCTAGGTACCGATGCCACTCATGCTGAGCACATTGAGACCATCAAGGCCCGGATGTATGTGGGGCTCACTCCAGATAAGCGCTTTCTCCCGGGGCACCTAGGCATGGGGCTCGTGGAAGGTAAGGATGAGGGAGCCCCTCATGGGCAGTCGGGGGGGAAGTGGAGGGCCATGCTTTGAGGGCATCTTCCTGACCGGACAGCTCTGCTCTTTGCCCTGCAGGTTACGATTCTATGGGCTATGAGATGTCGAAGCCTGACCTCCGAGCTGAGCTGGAAGCTGATCTGAAGCTCATCTGTGAGGGGAAGAAGGACAAGTTTGTGGTTCTAAGGCAGCAGGTCCAGAAATACAAGCAGGTTTTCATTGAGGCAGTGGCAAAAGCGAAGAAGTAAGTGCAGGCCCCGCTCTCCTATGCACCTCAGTTGGTTCTGAGCCCCTGACCATAGCACGTCTCTAACTGGGAGAGACTCGCCACAAGGTGATACTCGGTTGGTCTCCACTCAGAGCCTGTGGGATGCAGTCAGCTTCCTCACCTGGCAGGACTGCCCATGGCCAGCTCCTCCCCTGCAGGTGCTCCTCCTGGGATTTGTGGGTTCCTTTTTATTGAGTTCAGTTGGACTGGAATTAGAACCATCTGCTCCGGGAGCCTGGGAAGTGGTTCAGTGGTTTGGGGCGCCTAATGTAGGTTGTGAGCTCAGGGTCCTGGTGCTCCCACATTGCCACTCATGGCCCCTGGTAAGAAGGCCCAGGAGGGTGGGAGAGTCACTCGGAAAGCCCTAGGGTAAGTGTAAGAGCTGGAGCTTAGTCCCCAGGGCTGTGCACAAGCCACAGTGATCCTCTCTGACCCAGGACATGGGGTCCCCAGACAACAAAGGAGAAAAGCCTTAGAAAGGCTGTTCTCTGGGTGCTCCCCAGGGAGTTTGGGAGGCAGCAGGGTCTTGGCCTCAGGTGCTGGTGTCTGCTCATGTTCTCTTGAGTACTTTGAAGTGGCTATTTAACATGCAGCCAATATGTTATGTTAGTTATAACAGGTTTCCTACCTGTACCTTTGTGAAAAAGAAATGTTAATGGATTTATTTTTGCATTTGGGGGCCACACCCATTGGTGCTCAGAGCTTACTTTTCTGATGGGGTTCAAAGCTAATATGTGGTACCGGCATCAAACCTGGGTTGACTCCATGCAAGGCAAGCGCTTTCACCCCTGTACTGTCTCTCCATCGCCCCAAAATAAGTACTAGCTTACTTACAAACCCAGACGCTTCAGGAGTGTGTACATGGTTTAGTTCATTAGGGTGCAGTGACCTTAAATGAACAGCACAGGGGGCTACTTGGTGCTGCAGAGAGAATCAGGTCTTGGCCAACTCACCTCTGTCTCTTTTTTGGTATCAGGTATCAGCCAGCACCTACCCCTCCCCCCCCCCCCCCCAAGTTCACATCAGTGTGGAGGGCAGGGAAAAACCTTTCCAATATTTTGTTGTTTATTCAGATTGGATGAAGCTCTGTCTCAGTACTTTGGGGATGGGGTAGAAGTGACCCCACAAGAAACCTTCTACCCAACCATGCCGGAGCCCATCAGGAAGTGTCCACAGTGTGGCAAGGACATGGTCCTCAAGACCAAGAAGAACGGCGGGTCAGTTCCTGGCTCCTGTGACCCCTGCCAAACCCCTTGGCAGAACATGTCCTTCACGTCTGTGTCACTCTTGTCACCTTCCCTGGTCTTTGGTATGCTGGGGTGGCTGGGAGCTGTGCACACTTGCCAAGCCTGCAACTGGGAAGTACTACTTCCCACTTCCCGGCAGCTGGGGGTGGGGGTGGGGGGATGACATGTCAGCTGCGGCTCCAGTGAGCATGCGCTCTGGTGGTGCTGGAGATCCCAGTGGTGCTGGGGCTCGGGTCTCTGCCTCTGGCTCGTGGGGCAGCCATCCTTGGGCTGCATGTGTTTATGGGGAGTCCGCGGCTCCCAGCCCAGGATTCAGTGTGGAGATACGCAGGGGCCTGGTTTGGGGGTGTGAGGCACTCGGGGAGTTCAGATGTCACCCGGGGCCATGACTCCTGTGGATCACCTCCCACCCAGTGTGTGATGAATGGCGGAAAGCTAGCACTCCAGATTCAGGTGGTTTGTCCATCCCTCCTCAGGCAAGTTTCCTGAGTTCTCCAAGCCTACGGTAGACTTTGGGCAGTTGTGGCCTCCACCAGGGTTGTCGTGAGGTAGAAGTAAGGGAAGATGCAGGAAGAACCTGGAGCCTGAGCAGAGTCCTCGGCCGGGTGGTGGTTGGAAACCAAAAGCATCCTCAGTAGCAGCTGCTTCATTGGTTAAGGACAGAGACCGTTTTCCTCTGGTGATTTATATTAGCAACTATACCTGTGAATTTCCTCTCCAAAGGAATTCTTGTTTGATCGGTTACAGCTGTCTCCTTAGCCCATGAGGTGGCCTAGGATTTCCTTTTTTTTTCCTCTTTTTCTCTTTTGGGTCACACCTGACATTGCCTCTGGCTCTGTACTCAGGAATTACTCCTGTCAGTGCTTGGGGGACCATATGGGATGCGGGGGATCGAACCCTGGTCGGTTGCATACAAGGCAGATGCCCTCCCTGCTGTGCTGTCGCTCCAGATCCTTCCTGTATTTTATGTATCCTGGTGGCTGCCACCTGACCTGCTCCATGCCCCCCAGGTTCTATGTCGGCTGCGTGGGTTTCCCAGAATGTCGTTCGGCCGTGTGGTTCCCAGACTCCGTGCTGGAGGTTAGCCGGGATGAGAGTGTGTGTCCAGTCTGTCAGCCGGCCCCTGTGCACAGGTGAGCTGGCCCAAAGTGGTGATCCGGGTCTTGGCATTCAAAGGGGTTGGTGTCTGGTGCTTTTTGTGGGCTTCCTGGGAAATGAGGGTATCTCAGCCTCAGAGAAAAATGGCAGTGCCGAGTAATGTCTTTTTCTCTCTTTCTCATTAGGTTGAAGTTCAAGTTCAAGCGTGGTAGCCTTCCCCCAACCATACCTTTGGAGTTTGTTGGCTGCATTGGGGGATGTGACGAGAACCTGCGGGAGATCTTGGATCTAAGATTGTTTCGGCCCCCGCTCCCAGCTAGCCAGCCAGCCAGCCAGCCCACTGGCTACCTGCAGGCTAGCCAGGCCCTGAACAGGATGGACAGCGGCCAGTGCGGCCCACCACAGCCTCCTAATACCGGCCATGCCCGGGCCTCCAAGACTCCAGCGCAGGCACTCACACCGCCCAGTGAGAGCAACTCTGTGACGTGCAACTGCGGCCATGAGGCCCTGCTGCTCACTGTGCGCAAGGAAGGGCCCAACCAGGGCCGCCAGTTCTATAAGTGCCACAATGGCGGCTGCAACTTCTTCCTGTGGGCCGACAGCAGCCAGCCAGGAGCCAGTGGGCTTCCTCCCTCTGCAGCAAGACCTCCAGGGGGCGGCTCCCTGGCACATCTGCCAGGCTCAGGAAACCCCCAGCGGGGGGCTGGCGGCCCCAGCGGTAACAGCAGTGCGTCCTGCCTGTGCAGCCAACCAGCCGTCACTCGGACTGTCCAGAAGGAGGGGCCCAATAAGGGGCGTCAGTTCCACACCTGCGCCAAGCCACGAGAGCAGCAGTGCGGCTTCTTCCAGTGGGTAGACGAGAATGTAGCCCCAGGTAAGGCCAGGCTCTGCTGGGGAGTCCTGAGCGAGACTGATGATCGTGGGAGCCAGGGCCACGCCTGCCTCTCCTGAGGCCACCAAAGCCAGGACATAAGGGACATGGCCCTGGCCACCGAGGGCAGGGAGGTAGCTCTGTTAGTGGATTCACTTGCTGTGCAGCCAGCGCTGTGCTGACAGTCAGGGACAGCTCTGTCAGGAGAGCATTGATAGTACAAACTGAGGTAGAAGGGAGGCCGTGCTCCAGAACTGCCAACCTTCCTGGCCTTACAGCGCCTTTTCAGAAATAGATTTTATATATATATATATAGAGAGAGAGAGAGCACAGCACCCCTGGAAATCTACTTTAGGGCAGCAGAAAGTATCCCCAATTGCACCCCCCCCGGGGGTGTCACCCACTTTGCCCAGACAACAGCGGTGACTTACAGTGTGACACAGCCCAAAAGGGTTTGAAGGTAGGTTTGCCTGGTCTGCAGAGTTCTCAAGAACCTGACCAGACTGGTGGTGTTGGCCTCTTCCCTTCAGATGAAACTAGCCCAGTGATGCCTCCAATTGTCCAAACCACATAGCTTGGGCCACGTGTCTTTGGATGAGTATGGTGGGAACTGGCAGCTGGACATCAGGTCTCATTGGGTGTGTAGTGGAAGGCGCTGGGAAGCAGAAGCCTGACTGACTGTCTGAGAGGATCGAGAGGCCCAGCAGGAGTGCATCGTGGTACACGGCTGGTCCCAGGGTCTCACCACTGTGGCCACAAGCAAATGCCTCAGCCTCAGTTTCCTCAGCAATGACAGGGTACCTGCCTGTCTTCCCAGGGTTTCTGTTTCATGAGGCAGCTTAGTTTTGAACTGTTCCAACACACATCACTGCTCCATGTGCAGGAGGAACCAGGTTTGGCAAAGACCCAGGACTCAGGTGCTGTCTGCCATTGCTGAGGAACCTGGGGACAGCCCTGACCAGGCCCATCCTGAAGTGTGCTCAGTCTGTTACCGGCAGCCCTGCCTTTGCCGCTTCTCCACGTAGCCATTCCTTGCTTGGTTTCCACAGTTGAAAGGGCCTGTGTGACGTGCCATGCCTTCCGTCCGTGCCAGCACAGAGAGCGGGAGCCTCCAGAGCCCAGAGTCAGCCCAGAGTTGTTGAGGGAAGAGGGCCGCAGGGTCAGGGACAGGGCGTGAATTCACCAGGACAGAGCTCCGGGGTGCTGATTCTCATTCTGCCCACAGGGACTCTGGGAACCCTTCCCTGGCCAGGAGGCAGAAGAAAGACACAGGAGTCAGAGGCCAGAAACAAAAGACCCCGCATCAATTCTTCAGAAACAGGGTCTGAGGCCAGGAGACCTCGGAAATGCAGCCTGTGCCACCAGCCTGGTCACACCCGTCCTAACTGTCCTCAGAACCGATGATGAGGGAGAGCCCAGGAGAGCTAGCTACTTTCCAGGCCTGCCTGTCGCCTGAGAGGAGTGGCTTCTGACAGGACCCAGGGACCCTTCGCAGGGCTTTGAGAAACGTAGCAGCTCTGAAGCTGCTCCTGTGTGCTTGGGAATCAGGATGCCAATCACCCCTGACAAGGGCGCTCCTCCCCGGGCTCAGGGTCACATGATGGCCCACTGCTCCCTGGGAACACTCCCAGGGCCTGTCACTCAGCCTCCAGCCAAGGCCAGGAGCTGGTGCTTCCTGTGGGCGTAGCTCCCAGGGCTTTCTCCACCTCCAGCAAAGGTCTAGACAGCCTGGAAGCGGCCTTGCTGGCTGTGAGACAGGAGGGTTGTTGGCCCCACTCCAAAGTTCCATCCACAGATGCAGCTTTATTCCTCTTGACTCAGAGTCCGCTGTAGTTGGGGCAGATCACGTGCCTTAATAAAGCTTGCTCCAAAACAATGGTGTAGTGGGTAAAGTGTTTGCCTTGCATGCGGCTAACCAGGGTTCAATTCTGGACATCCCATATGGTCCCCTTGATATTGGTGGGCCCTACGGGTGACTTAATGTGAAATGGGGAGGAGAAAGAGGGTCACCTTCTCCCAATCTGCCTCTGCTACCCAGGACCCAGGGTTACTGGGTTCTTGTCTCACTCGCAGAAAGGACTTTTAGGAGTAGAAAAGCAGTGAAATAAATTTTATTTGGAGGGCTTTTTGAAAGTGTGGAGGAGGAAAGAATGAGAGAGAGTAACCCCTGAGCACCACCAGCTGTGTCCCAAAGAGCAAAAAAAAAATCCAATTTGCTCCAGGGCTTTTGCTCCCTTTTACTTAGGCACTGTGTGCCGTGTGTGGGAATGCTAGCAGGAGATATGGATGCGGGCTCCAGCGGGATGCCGTCAGCCAGCCGTCCACCCGCACAGGGAGTGGGCAGTCTGGCCATGTACACCTTGTCCTCTGCCACACTTCAGGCTGCCACAGCCTCTTTACCTACAGGAAAACCTTGTGATCACAGGAACTGTCCTGGCAGAAATGGGGCATGTGTTCTCAGTCACCAGTTGATGAAGACGTGCTCTGTCCTCATAGTGGGGCTGCAGCTGCCCCTGCCCCCCTCCACACACACACACTCCCTTCAGCCAGGGTAGCCCTGCCCAGGCTTGATGGGAACTGCTCTGGGGCATCTGGGCAGTGGGCATGGCGAGAGCCTTTGTGCTCAGTGAGCCTTAGCAGCCACTGCCCAGTTGCCTTTTGTTTTGGGGGAGCCACACTTAGTGATGGTCAGGGCTTCCTCCTGGGGGATGCTGGGGCTCGAGTTCAGGTTGACGTCAGTGGACCCCACGGTGGCTCACGTGAGTCAGGAGGAGAGAAAGACAGTCACCTTCTCCAACTTCGCCTCTGCCTCCTGGGTCCTGCTGGGAAAAGTAGGACTGGTAAAGTCTGCAATGAGCCCCTGCTCAGCACGGGCCTGAGCCCTGCCAGCCCCACCAGGTGGCTGTCAGGCCACACCTGAAGTCTGCTTGGTCTGCCAGGCACAGGAGTTCATCCCCACCACCTGATTTCTCGGGGAGCCACGGACTCAGGCTAGAGCAAGGATTTGCTCTTTGCAGGAAAGGAGAAACCAGTCCCAGGCCTTACCCAGAGTTTTCGGAGTTCTTGTATCACCTCGCAGAAAAGAATTTCAGGAGTAGACAAGCAGTGAAGTAGAACAGATTTTATTTGGAGGGCTTTTTGAAGGTGTGGAAAGAAAGAGAGTGGGGGGGAGGGTAGTGAGAGAGAGTAAAAATCGCTTAAGAGAGAACACAAGCTTCTCCAAGGGTGGAGAGAGCCCTGCACATATCACAGCATTAGACATGAAGGCATGAAAGTACGCATATCAAGAGGGGAGATGCGGGTGACACATGTACTCGGCCATGGGGCGCAAGCAGCACATGGGCTTGGGCAGCATGTGCAATCTTCCTTTGCTCAAGGTGGTTTTTATAGGCTCTTCTCCAGTTGTCTTGATCCGGAATGTTCTGGAGTCTTCTTGGGCTGAATTACTAAAGTTAATTGGATTAAGGGAGAGGTCTGAGGATTTGAGGAACTTCTTGGGGAGGGGTCCAATCTCCTCAGGGTCCACTGCTGAAGATCTTTTCAGGTTTGTTTTTCGTATCCACAGGGTGGATCAGCCTTAGAATTTTTGTTGACCTAAGTTTCATTGCTGAGGGTCTTCCCCTGTCTTTATCTTCCTACATCAAGGTCAGCCACTTGCAAAGCAAGCACCCTGCCTCTGTGCTTTCTCTGGCCCCCATGAGCCAGTTTTCTTTGGGATTTTTTTTTCTTTTGTTTTATACCCGATTGTGCTCAGGGTTTACTCCCACTCTGCTCAGGAATCACTCTCTGTGGGGATCTAGGGCCAAATGTAGCACCAGGAATCAAACCAGGGTTAACTGAATGTGAGGGTTAGTGCCTTATCAACCCGCATTATCTCAGGCCCCCAAAGAAATCATAATTCCATATTTTAAAGTACATTTAGTCTGCTCCCACTTGGCGGCTCGGTGGCCACCACCCTCCAGAGGCCACTGGACGGTCAGGTCTGGGCCCGCAGTGACGAGACACGGTGGGGCCTCGCAGGTTGGGGGTGGAGCCGGCCCTTTCCTCCCCACCCCAACGAGACCCCCAAGTCGCCGCCCATGAACGGCCTCTCTGGCTCCTGATCAAACTGCTTAACAGCCATAATCCCAGAGACTCAGAAACAAATCTTGGAACCCAGCGGCTTTTGGCAAAAATACGGCCGGTTCCTGCAGTAGGTTAGCGGCGCCAGGCCACCCCAGGTGGGAATAGGTTTCATGCCTTGGCCTGTTCCCCCTGGAGGCTCAGTGGCCGCCATCCTCCAGAGGCCATTGGACGGTCAGATTTGGTCCCGCAATGACGAGACACGCGGGGCCTCATGGGATGGGGGTGGAGCCGGCCCTTTCCTCCTCCCCACCCTAATGAGACCCCGAGTCGCCACCCACGAACAACCTCTCTGGCTTCTGATCAAGCTGCTTAAGGAGGGCTGCTATCACTCCAGCTCCATAAGGAGTAAATTCTGAGCACTGCCACAGCGATTGGTTCTCAAGAGATTTAGGAACAAATCTCGGAACCCAGCAAGTTTTGGCAGAAATCCCTCCAGATTTAATTGTTAAAATTTTGGAATTCCAAAATCACACACCCACTACTGTGGCCGCATGACAGCATATGTTATTCATAATCAGCAATAGAAAACAAATTGTCTACTGTTGCCTTCTCTGCAGATCTGAGTGTTAGGATAAAATCCCAGATAATAATGGTGGGTCTGGTTTCCAAATATTGAATGTAATCAAAGTAGAGAGAGAGTAATGTGGAAATCATCTGCCCCACAGGTAGGGGGAGGGTGTGAGATGGGGGGTATACTGGGGTTTTTGGTGGTGGAAAATGGACACTGGTGAAGGGATGGGTGTTTCATCATTGTATGACCGAGACTTAAACCCTAAAGCTTTGTAACTGCTCTTACGGTGATTCAATAAATAAAATTATAAAAAAGAAAAAAAAAGTAAGGTGGAGTTCATGCCCAATTCAATCAGCCTAATCAATGGCTGAATAAATAGCAACACTCGGGAAAGAAAGATGGCGGCCGCACAGGAGCCTTGTGGAAAGCAGGTTTGAGCCGGGCTCGGGGGAGCGGCGGGGACCTCATGGGAAGGGGGGCTTTGTGGGCCGTCCCCCACGCCCCACCGAGGTCGCCAGCTGCCCCCCACGAGCGGCTCTCCGGCACGGCCACGGCCCCGGAGGCACAAGGACTTAGCACAGAGAACCAGCCGCTTGGAGCAGAAAAGCAAATGGACTTGTGTTGATCCGCGGAACCAAGCCTGCCCGGAGGGGGAAGGGCGTTGACCAGCCCGCCCGCTCCTCTCTGGAAAGAAAGATGGCGGCCGCACGGGAGCCTTGTGGAAAGCAGGTTTGAGCCGTGCTCGGGGGAGCGGCGGGGACCTCATGGGAAGGGGGGCTTTGTGGGCCGTCCCCCACGCCCCACCGAGGTCGCCAGCTGCCCCCCACGAGCGGCTCTCCGGCACGGCCACGGCCCCGGAGGCACAAGGACTTAGCACAGAGAACCAGCCGCTTGGAGCAGAAAAGCAAATGGACTTGTGTTGATCCGCGGAACCAAGCCTGTCCGGAGGGGGAAGGGCGTTGACCGGCCCGCCCGCTCCTCTCTGGAAAGAAAGATGGCGGCCGCACGGGAGCCTTGTGGAAAGCAGGTTTGAGCCGGGCTCGGGGGAGCGGCGGGGACCTCATGGGAAGGGGGGCTTTGTGGGCCGTCCCCCACGCCCCACCGAGGTCGCCAGCTGCCCCCCACGAGCGGCTCTCCGGCACGGCCACGACTCCAGGGCACAGAAACCAATCTCTTAAGTAGCTAACTTTTAATAGAAATTCTTCCAGGGTCAATAAGTAAAATAGCAGAAATTCAAAACATCATTTTATTCTTAAACCAAGTTGTAGAAAGCAAATCATTTCACAATGTTTCAGCATGTCTGATTGGGGGGGGGGGGGTCGTAAACTCTAAACAATAATTGTGCATCTTCTATCGAAATAATCTATCTAGTCAAAGTAGATAGAGTATTAACTAGAACTCATCTGCCTCACAAGAATTGGGAGGGGTGGGAGGTGGGGGTCTATTGGGGTTCGGGGTTAAAAATGAGTATTGGTAAAGGGAAATGTGTTCGGTATCTACATGACTGAGACCTAAACCCGAAAGCTCTGTAACTTTTCCCACAGTGATTCAATAAATAAATAAATTATAAAAAAAAAATAAAAAAAAATAAACACTGGAGTTGAAGGTCAAAAAAAAAAAAATTAAAGCTACGTCTTGACTTAGTGAGCTAAGAAACATTGCTCACTGAAAGGAAATATCCAAACTCTTAGACTTGTGTGCAGATTGCCTTCAGTACTCTTCTTCACTCAGCAGGGTGCTGAGGGATTTTAAAAAAGAAGGAGAAGAAGAAACCTGAGTGCTCTCTTAGGCACATAATGTTTATAAGTTCAGAATTTTGTGTACTCAGATTTTTTTCTAAGTGACATAATCTTGTGCAAAACATCACCCAGAAACCTATTTGCTCTCACTAGAGACTTTTTAATTAACAGCCACATCTGTGCTATTATGCTATATTTTTGCAAAGCTAGCAACAACTTAAGTCACATTATTAAATTATGAAAAAATGCATAAATCTCAACGGACTTGTTGGTGTTGCAAGAGCAGGAATACTGAGCCCTCTGCCCCCAGGGTCTGGCCTTGAATTACTTAATTTTTTGGTAATGATATTATTAAATATTTAATATTAAAAAAAAATAAAAAAATAAATAGCAACACTCCTACATTTAAAAAAAAAGTACATTTATACTTTGTGTATTCAAAAAACAATTATGAAAGTCGTGGCGG